TAACTGGTAATTGAGAGAAGATACACAAAACATTGAACAAAAATCATACATTATTCTTTTTTCAAAGATTGTTTAACTCCATCTGGCAGTTGTTGCGACTGGCTAGATTAACTGGCACCTAAAACAACGTCTGTTAATAAAACTAAAATGATTCAAATATTCATTGCAATAATCTGATGCTATCTGTATATGAAAACCAAAACCACGGCACAAAATTTATAATATGAGACCGAAATTTTTATACATATACTTATACAAACAAACAAACAAACAAGCAAAGTTTCTATGTAACATATTTTTCGAAATAGAAAATATTCTATTCATTATATACCAATGCGATCATAGCTTATATTCAACGTCTGAACGCAAACCACTACATCACAAATATCCTATAAGATATACACTATTTTGATGAACAGACAACGTATTGAGATGGTTTCTACAAGTATTAAAACATATTCAAAAGCATCTGAATAAATAAGAATAGTAATTTTCTGAAGCATGAAACTTTATTATATACTGTTACATACTATTGTTATTATTACTGTTTTTGTTAACCATATTCATAACTAATAAATAATAAAAAGAGATACCAACAGCAGATTCATACACGCCAATCTATAACGTTATGTTGGTTACCTGAAAATACTCATGGATCTTAAGGAAACTTAATATTTGCTAACCAGGATGGATGCAGTGTTGTAGACTATTGTTTGGCATCCACAAAATATTAATAAATATAATTTAACTTCAGAATTTAAAGTTTTAGATGTGACTGAAAGTACTCATTTCCTTTTGTATTTGATAATTCAAACTACAATATGGTAAATAAGATCAACAAGGAAGGCTGGCGTTCATTGAACAACACGACCTAGCGGAAAGAAGGCCAGGACGACCTAGTATTTACTTGGTTAGAAAGTTTGAAAGTGTACTTATTTTAATGATAATGGGAAATCTGTCTATTCATCTACATTTTGTAATGCGAAGATGCCAGATCTGTCTGAAAGGTAAAACTTACTGTATGAACACTGTAATGATGTAAATATACTTGTTGATAATTTGAGAAGAGTGTCAGTTTTTGTAGTAAACCTCTGTTGTATGGTCACAAAAAACCTAGACCACAAAATAGGGCATGGTTTGGTGTTGAATGTAAAACTGTCTGTAAAGTTTTGAGGTTTGCATTATAAAAATTCAGATAATGTCAAAGTTTGGATTATTTAATTATTTATATTGACACTAAGCATTCATGTAAAATATATGTAGACAGAATATATGCATATGAAAATCAGTTTATTTTTGTTGCTGATTTGTGCCTTTCGTGTTTTTGTCATGCAAGCCCGCTAAGCGCAAATTCGGGAAATTGATATGTTAAAATGGCGAGAGCGCGGAGCAAGATTTAAGAAATAAAACTGCGGGGATGCGGAGCGAAAACAGTTAGTGCACCTGCTTGTTTTTGCTCTGTGTCCTTAACTTTTTAACTCTCGACTTTTCGATTGGCGGGGTCGCGGGAAAAAACACGAATGGCACAAATCTGCCAACAAACTTTAAAGCTGATATTGATTAAAGCATTGATAACTCCAAAGAATTTCGGAAGAAAATAAATAATATATAAAAAACATGTAACAGACATTCACTTAACAGTAGATAAGTAAAGATACCTGGTCTACTCACTTTAGCCAGTTGTTTTCTGGAGCTGATATTGATGGGGCAATTTGTGAACATTTACAGGCAACAGTATGAAAAGATTTTAATTTAGATGAATAGATTATTTAGATGAGATTGAGAACTTTCTCTTTAATAGTCTAATATCTAGGGTAAAATAAACGAAGCTGTTAGGAAATTAAAGTTTAACAATGCAACAGGTGACACACCAGTACCTTCACCAGTCATTTGTTGTCGCTTATATGTACAAATTAATAAAAGACATTTTCTACAGTTTTATGAAAAAATAATCCTTTCATAGAATTTTCTAAATTTTTTGTATGATGAGTAAAATTTTATGAAGAATTTAAAAATAAAAAGAAAAATATATGTTGGCGTGTTGGATTTCTTGTAAAATGGCAGTTTCCATGGTAACCGTATATCTAAAAACTGTCAAAATAGCCTAACTGTGTTATAACGAATAGAAAATGTATAAGATAGCTTAAAACACACAACGAGCATTGTTTTATGCAAAGATAATCTTATCTAATGATTCTGTATGAAACAAATGATAATCTGAACATATTTCTTTAAAAAATGAGTTTTCCATGTTCCTCAACTGAACAAAAAGTGAGAAAAATAAACATGAATTCTGAGAATAATTGAAAAAAGTGTCTCATAGGATTTTCTAATTTTTTTGTATGTTGTGTAAAATTTAATGACAAATTCAAAAAGAAAAAGAAAAATATATGTTGGCGTGTTGGATTTTTTGAAAAATGGCAGTTTCCATGGTAACCGTATATCTCAAAATTGTCAAAATAGCCAAACTGTGTTATAATAATGTATAAAATAGCTTATTACACTCACAATAAACATAATTTTATACAAAGCTTCCTTTATCTTAGGGTTCTGTATAAAATAAACGATAATTGGAACATATTTCTTTAAAAAATAAGTTTTCATGCTTTTTAACTAAACAAAAAATGAGAAAAATAAACATGAATTATGTAAAAAAATTAAAGCCATCAAGAAATTTCTTTCATAGAATTTTCTACATTATTGATTTATCAAGTAACATTTGATAGTGGATTCAAAAATAGAAATAAAATATATATGTTGACGTGTAAGTTTTTTGTAAACGGGCAGTTTCCATGGTTACCGCATATGCCAAATGTCAAAATTACCACGCTTTCTTAAGAAATATCAGTGTTATACAAAATGTATTGTCAAATATACAACAAAAACATGTTGTAATCAAAAATTTCTTTTTCTTTTGATGTTATATTAAGTAAATAATACTGAATATCTTTTTAAAACATATCTAGGGCCATATTATTTTTTTAACTCGACTAACATACCGAAAAGTAAGCAAGTATTCAGAAATTTACAAAGAAAATAATGAAACTCGGAACATTTCTTAGATATGAATTTTGTTTTTTTATTCAACACTTTTAAAATATATCATTTTAAACTTCTTTGCCCAGTTGTCTGCCAGTAATCAAGTCGCGACGCACTTTCGTCACTATACCACAAGTGGGTGGGGTAACGCGTGCAGAATTATCATCAATGCTGTCGTACTAATGCTTGGAGAAATCCTTTATGTGATGTTGTCTAAACGACCTCTTATTCTTTTGAACCGATCTCCTTTTGAACATTTAAAAATATCTATTCTGTATTATTTACTCATTATTTGGTTATAGCCGAAATTTTAACACTTATCCGAATACTATTCAACTAGACCTTCATTTGAAGAGTAATTATCCGTGATTATCTTTCTTGGAAGCGCATAACGATGCGCACAGAAAACTACCGAAAACGTCTTTAATAAGATATTTAATTCTGGAACATTCCCAGAAAAATGGTGTCAATGTGTAATTATACCTGTCCATAAAAAAGGTAGTTTGTTTAACCCTAATGATTATAGACCGATATCATTGATTGATGTCCTAAGCAAAGAACATATCAAAACTGGTTGTTTATACAACACAACTTTAATCTATGTATAATTTAAAAGTTTTGTTAAATCTCAGTCTGAAGTTTATGATATTTTTGATTGTACTACAGGATAACGTAAAAGTCCATAATGTGATAATTCTCATTAGTATTATTTTAATCAGCATAATGTTGTTTTTCTTTCGTGCATTACTCAGGAACGAACGGGCACCTGAGTAGAACAACTGATGCTCCGTAAGCTAGCCTGATAGCTTCCTCAAATGAAAGAGGCCAAAGTCCCTGGCAGGATTCGCGGTAAGAAGCAAGTGGTTTGAATTCAACGACGTTAACCACTCGGCTACGGACCCCCCCCCCTCAGCATAAAGACTGCAAAAATGCTGTGAAACAGTCGTTTTTATGGTTTCATCTTTATCTAGTCTTGAAGATACATACACCTACCTTAAAAAATATATTTTATAAAAAATTCGAAATGGATTAATTTTCAATATAATTAATTACGATATGATATATTTCCCATAAAATTATTGAAAAAATCCAATAGGAAAAATATCCATTTGGGGTTAATTCCAGTCAATAATTTTGCCAGTTACAATATATAGAAAAGCTCCTATCAATTTTTCGAACCATGTTTAAATTGATTCAACAAGAAAAAGCATTAAAGATATACTATGCTCATCCTTGAGTAAATAATTTTTATCGAAGCAATTTATTAAAATCTATGAAATTCTTTTTGAATATGAGTAATTTAAATAAAAAACATGAATAAACTATGTATTGGAAACTATGTTTCCTATTACAGGACAGATATATAAAGATGGTCTTTTCTTTAAAAAAGACTGCCAGTTTTCTACGACACTATATATTCATATTGTGACCACCCATAGAGTGTGGAGTATTAAACATGACATATCTACTTTGTGTGAAGTCAAAACATATTTATTCTATATTTACAAAGAGACTGTGTAGCAATTATCAATGTTTCTGATATCAAATTTGAGCATAGCATAATTATCTTTAAAATACATATTGAACACATACTTCCCGCAATCTCAGAAAATAAGAAAATCCGATCGGAAAAAGATGTAATGTTTGTAAATAATCCGATTGGAATTGTTAAAAATAAAAATAAATAAATTGTGCGTAGTTTTAAATCAATTAATCATAATTAACCCTAAATCAAAAATCATGTGAAATGATTCATTAATGTTTAACATACTTTTAAATGGTAGTGAAGTGTGCCATAATGCTTGTTTAACATAATTTTCAACGCAACGTACATAATTGTTTAATGAACAAAGTCCTATTAAACGACGTATCATTGTCTTCAAATTTAAAGGTTTTAATAATTAATTGAGTTGTAAAGGAGCACATTAAACTACCTTGAAAAAAGACTATTATAGTTATGGTCATTCATGTATAGTTTCATATGTTGCTTCATCTTTCGTATCGGGACTCAGATCTGTATATTGATGAGATTCATTTTCAATGGCATCTATCTGAACTTTTGCTATTTCAGTTGCTGCTTCTGTTGCTGCTCCAGTTGTTACAGTTTCTGTTTTATTTGTTTCATTTGCATCAGCATCACCATAGCTCCTAAAATAGAATACAACATTTCTCAAGGACCATTAAACTCAAATGAAAGGAAATTATTGGATTAAGTATTGATTTAATAGATTTTTAATGCAAGATCAAGGTTTTAATTTAATACTGGATTTAAGCAAACTTATGTCTGTTGACGATAGATCCATGAGTTAACAAGATGAAGTCACATAAAAAGAAATCGCGACATGGGTGTTTGGGAACGACAACAAATTTCTTTTCATTACATTGATAGAGTTGCATATTCATTACATTTTACCCATTCGACAATATATTATTTAATACTTATGTTATATTAGACCAATAATTTACCTAAGATCTTGTAAGATGTTAAATCCAGGAGCAAATCATACTGGATATCGGTATAAAGATATTTATATTTAAATAACATATTAACATATATGAAATAAGGTACAATACTTTTACCTTCCACTGCAAATGCCATCAGTCCCATCTTTTTCTTTAACATGAAATCAATAAATCAGAGGAATGAATATTGTGAATAACCTAAAGGTTCATATCTGTTCATGTATTTGCCGCCTTTAAATTGATAAAAAATGTTGATTTCTGGATGTTCATTGATGAATTGGTCCCCAAAACATTTTAAAAATAATCTTTGGATTTTATTCCGTAAGGTTTTTTGTTCATTGATTATGCATGAGTTTTTCCTAAGTTTTCTGTCATATTTTATATTAGCTCAAAGATTAGAAGCGAAGCTATTTAAATGAGTAAATAAATTCTTAAAAACATCTCACAATTATGCTTCGTCTTACGTTTAAACAAGATCGTTATAACTGAAGCGTACACAACAAGAATGGCACAAAGGATTCCGACACATATCAAAACTATTTTCAGCTTAAGTGTTTCGTGATATCGTGTGCACGGTTTTGTGTCACTTAAAACCTTGTCTGAAACTGTAAAAAAAGTTAATCGTATTATCTCAATTATTGAATCAAACAATAGTCATAATTATGTGTTTTAGTGTAAGTACTATGACCTTATCTCTACTTCAAACAATGTTATCAATGATTGTGTTTTACAATCTAATAGTGTAAAATTGATAATTCTTTAACATAATTTGTCATACTTTTATCGGAAATTAACTTACAATAGTACGATGCTACATTAACGTATGAATATAAAACTATCATTGCTGTATTTTATTTGATTTTACAATAATAATATTTGCTGCTAGCTATCGATTAAGCACATCACTTGAGTGTTCCAATATGATAGTTCTTTATGTGAGTTGTTGTATATTAGGTGACATGTTTATACTGATTTCTAATTAAATTAATTATTGTTGAACCTTAGGTTAGACATTACATGACAGATTATAGTTTGTGAAATATAACCATCTTCAGGTTGCTACTTTTTTTAAAAATGAAAACAGACCTACAAATAAACTTAATTTTGCACACGGATAAATTGTTAAAAATAACCTAATCTCCCAAGAACTCATTGGTTTGTGTCTATATATAGTAAATCTGCCATTTCAAGTTATTCCTATTTTTAATATGTATAATTAATAACTGATTTTTTTAAGATTGATAAGACTTTTTATATTGAATACTGTAATAAAAAAATAAAAACCACACAATATTTTGAAAACAGTTAAATAGAAAAACACATTTATATCTATATATGATATAATATTAATTGTAGCTTTTTATCTGTCTGATTGTTTGCTTTTATTTAAGGCAATTAGTAAATCAGTGATTTGTGACATGTAAAACGTTGTTGCATTAACATATAAAGACATAACTACTTCTTACTTGTGTATTTAAGAATTCGTTTTAATTCGGTAATCTTGCTAAAATGAAAATTAAGATCAACAAGGCAAAGGCAACGTTCACAGGACGCAGTCCCTGTCATACCCCAGTCACAACAGCAGGACACTCAAAAGGCACTGAACCAGAATTAGCAGAGGACACAAGGGCTGCATAATGAGGGGAGGGAAACGCAATAAGTAAAAAAAAAACAAAAACAAAGGGCGCCGAAATAATGGGAATTAAAGGAATAAGTGGTGCAAGGGGAAAGACAGGGGGAAATGATACGGAAATCTTGGCGAATGGGGGGGGGGGGGGTCGAAAGAAAATACTTACCGTTAACGACAATTTAACAAGGTAGACATCACGAAACATGCAAACATTCAAAACACAATTCACACATGTGGAACACGGGAAGGAACACAGAGGGGTAGCGCCTTCGATCGGTTAGTTACACCACTGGGGAGTTTCAACCGGTTTTAGACACGCCATACCTCTCTTAACCCCAATATATTCCTATATGACAAGACAGTGTAAATAAAATGAAGCCCACCAAGTAAATGCTAATAAATGGTCATGGTTACAATAGACGTAGCAAGAACCGGTTGAACCCCGGTGATGCTTCCCAAATAGGTTTTGGACACAGAAAAATATACCTAATGTAGTTTCAGAGTTATATCCCGGACAAAGTTCAATGTGCAATAATTCAAAACTGAGTTATTGTTCTATGCACTGCAAATCTACCCAATGAGGCCTATCTATCTACAACGTTTCTTGTTCATATCTCTTAAAGTGTCAGAGTTATGTCCCGGACAAAGTTCAAAATGTAAATATGAACTAAGGGCAATGACTCCATAATTAGACAAGGAAGAGTTACACTTCTTGCGCATCACCTAATGAGATCTATCTACCTATAAAGTTTCATGTTGATACCTCTTACAGTTATGTCCCGGACAAGTAAAGCGGATGGACAGCAGACGGACATACAATAGCAAACAAAAATACCCCCATTGTGCTGGCACAAAAACTGTTAGAATCAATGCACTTGGTGGACTACAAATATTACGGCGATACACTTACTTTCTTTGCACTTGTTTCCTTGAAAGCCTGGCTTGCAACCTTCAACACAATTGCCATTGATGTAGTCACATACATCGGCTTTACAATTTGATTGACAATTCTCACCACTTGACCGAACTTCCCGAGCATACATTCTATTTATAACAAAATAATATAAAGCGATTGTCATTTAGAATTCATAGGATAATGTTGTTTGAATACGCTGAGGCGATCAACTACGCACAACACAAGTTTATTTATAGTTCAATTATTTGATAAAATGTTCACGTTGTTCAGATATTGATATTTATGAATAAATAATGTAAATACGCTGATCACAATAAAAATATGAAATAGTTTGATTTAAAATTTGATAGTGATTGTTTGCAATTAAAGAATGGACGAAAGCTATATATTTGTATTAATGTGTTAAAATAATTCTTTTATTAAATGATTTCTTTAAAGAACTCTGGAAGCAAAACAAAACCAACATACAAGAGTAGTCAGTAAGAATGACGTTTGTTGATGAATAATAAAGTTTGAATAAAAGCACCTAGAAATACGATTATTTTTATGTGAGATATGCAGGCTTCTGCAGTGATGTTAGAAAAAAAAGAAAGACATTTAACTTCCGTTTTAATTGGATCAATAAAATAATTATAATGATAAAACAGTCCTGATCGTCACAACAAAAATATATCTTATAACTTCATTTACTTACTTGAATCACGTCTTTGACCAATCCACCCTGCCTGACAACCATTCACACATTCTCCATCTGTATGTCTACATATTATGTTTCCTTTTATACAATGAACATTACATTGATGGGCGCACTTATCACCATAGTGGCCATAATTGCATTCTAAATATAAGTTTTAAGACATTAAAAACAATAAAAAGTAAATAAAATAATTTCCAATTCTAAAAATCTTGGTCGACAAATATAAACAGTCCTTATGCACAATATCTGCCTTTAAAAAAAAAACAGTATCAAGATTTAAGAAATAGTTTATATGTTATGTGCAATCAATGACTGATTTTGCTGTGCTGTGTAAATAGATATTATGCTCATTATTTTTATTTCAAATTAAGCTTAATTAGTAGTATATTTAAATTTAAAAAAATGTCTAATATAATGGCAACTATCAAGTAATTGATAGTGAAAAATGTTTATGATATAATATAAAACGACATAAGTTATAAAAAATGCCCTTTCTTTTAAAACTTGACCGTTGCAGATTTTTAACGATATTTATAAACATTTCTGTCGGCCACGTGGATTATTGATTATTTTCATTGTAAATATAAAATTGAACACGATAATGGCACAATTGCTAAGTTGTATTGATTTTAACTGACCATTCAGACTTGGATGGGCATAATGCACCACCTAGTTTCAAATTACTTACGGAACTGTATACGTTTATACATACATGTATTATGGGCATAATTTCACAAACTTTCAAATTAAATCCAAAATGTACGCCAAAGGTGCCGACCGTACATTGTTAATATTATTTTGAAAAAAAAATGCATGTGTATTAACAAAATATTTTTCAAACCATCACAGAATAGTCCGACTTATATATTGAGAAGAAATCAGATATAATTATAAAGAATGAAAAAGAATTCCAGTATCCATTTATTTATTTCATCCTAGAGAAATAATAAGGAAAAGTATGGCGGAAATTATTTCTATTGAGTATCAAAAATCCTTCTTTGATTTTATTACAAAATCAATCCTAACACAATGATTACATAAATTAGCAGCACCGTTACATTTTTCTGTGCAAAAATTGAATTATGTATAAAAATAAATACTGACCAAATACACATAATTCACTGCACCACATTATCAACATAAAATTTAGTAAACATTCATTTTAGGAAACAGAAAGTTCTAGGAAAGATTTAATATATAATGCACATTTTATTTCTAACAAGATTTCTTTTTGTGAATCGAAATTTGCCGGTACGATATTAAATGTTACAGTATATTTATTTCTTATTATTATGATTATTATAATTTATATAGGAAATAATAACGGCTAATGAACACCGTTTTGAATTTTGATTTATATGTATTGACCTCGAATGCCGTATTCCAAAGTGCTATTTTTAATTTTTGAATATCAAAACAAAGTCAAGGGCAATAACTCTGACAAAAGTGAATTAATCCACACGCGAAACCCCAGCTGCACAACTTAACATGGTGATCAACCTTCCTGTAAATTGTGTTGGCCCTAGCACAGGCACTTTCATTTTGTTGTTAGCAATTTCATGACTGGCAAATGCAGCAAGATAGTTTTAATTATGAATGTAAAGCAATATTGATATTGTTTACTCATGTTCACATTTACCTGACTGGCTGAGACAGCTGACAGCAGAAGCATTGAAAATGTACGTCGATAGTTGGAGTAATCATTTAAGGTATGTAATAACAAATTTTAAATATAAAATATCTTACGAAAAATCAATACCATGGTCAGAAGAAATTTAAAAGTTTTAGGCAAACTATCTTAAGGAGTCGTAGATGTACAAAAAAGTGTAAAGTTCCTTTATACTTATTGTATACTGTCATACTATCTACGTAATCATGCAATTTTTGAAAATTTACTTCTTTCACACATATATCCTTGATTACCAGCCTCGCTTCCACTAATACAATAGCCTTTCGTATGATTGCAGACACCATTTTTGCAAGTGGTAAAACATTTATCACTACATTCCGTCCCAAACGATCCAGAACGACATTCTGATAAAGGATCACAGATGTGTTACATTTTTTTTATTGCCAACAAAAAGTAATATATCAATATTAACACTCAGGCATAGAAAACAAAATGACTTTAGGGCCATTGTATCCATTCTATCGATTTTAAAATATGTTTCATATTTCATATGACAAGTATCAATCTTTGACTGCCTCAGCAGACATGATAACAAACTAATTTCTAACATAAGATATACATGTAATCCCATGGCAGATCGTCGTTTTTATACAGTCGAAGACAAATATGTTAAAAGGATGATTCGTTTGCAATTTTATTAGATTGTCAGATTTTAGTTGGAAACTACAAAGAAGAAGGTAACGCACTTTCAAATTTTGATCATTCAAACTAATACAGAAAGTCAAGATAATAAAACATTCTACTAGATTTATAAATAAAATCAAATAAAATGAATAAATTTTGATCATCCAAACTAATACAGAAAGTCAAGATAATAAAACATTCTACCAGATTTGTAAATAAAATCAAATAAAATAAATAAGCACAATTTAACATAAAATAAAAGTGATAAAAAAGTTGTCTTGAAAATGAACCCGTGTCTTTTTTCTCATTTTATTTTCATTTATTCAATGAAGTGGCATGATATGGAAAACGTTGTTAGCACATTGAACACGAATTTTTCATGTTACGAATTGTAAGAAATTGATCTTACAAATTAGATCTTTTTTGCATTTTAAATTGAATCAGGCATAGAAAAAATTATCTTATATAGAATATGATAAACCAGATCAACAAGGAAAGGCGGCGTTTAATGAACGCAACCCCCACATGACCCAGCAACTGCATATAAAACTGTATCGTACAAAGTTAAATATCGAATCATTAAGTTAATTAAAAACAGACCTGTGCTTACTTTTAAGAACAATATATACAGGATTTATTTTCATATAAAATATTAAAATCGAATCGTACATGTTCAATACGAGTGATGGGAAATCGTTTAGACATATTTATGCTAAGATCATACCCGCAAGATAACACAAAAGACTTACTATTTTCACACCTATATCCTTGATAACCTGTCTTGCATCCAAAAATACAAATGCCGTTGACGTTATTGCAATGGCCATGCTTGCAATTGGAGGAACAATTTTCTTTGCATTCTATACCAAACTTCAATGCTTCACATTTTATTATTTATAAAACTTAATCAGGTTAAAAAGATACTGTGCGATTTCAACAAATATTTTCAGTTATTTCTGTGTTCATGATGTGTATTTAAATTTAGGTTACATATAATTGTACATTATTGATTAACCTACAAATGTTGTCGAGGAAGACACCATCAAAACATTATGTGAAGATCATTTTATATGCTACTCTTTCAGTCATTATTGTGTTTTTGTAAGTAAAGAAATCATGTTACCAAATTACAAAATTGGAGAAAGGTCATAGAAATGAAATAACCATACTGTATAATTATAACAATCAGAATGTTGAATCATTGGCATTGTTAATTCAATCAACCTTCCTGCATAAAAAATTGAATAATAGAATGACTTACCTTTTTCACACTTATTTCCTTGATAACCTGGCTTGCATCCAAAAGTACAATTGCCGTTGACGTTATTGCAATGGCCATGCTTGCAATTTGAGGAACAACTTTCTTTGCATTCTATACCAAACTTCAATGCTTCACATTCTATTAGTTATAAAACTTAATCAAGTTCAAAAGATACAGGGCGGTATCAACAAATATAATTATTTACAATTACTAACTTCTGTGTTGATGGTGTGTATTTAAGTTTAAAGATGCATGCCTCCAGATGAGCCGAAAAATTTCAAGAAAATTAATTTTAAACTGTACTTAATTTTCTAGAAAAGTAAATAGATTAAAGATTCAATTGATAATAAATGACTTTTTTGTAGTATTTTTCACCATATTTCTACTGCGTTCGTAACGCAGTAGGGCTTTTTTGCATATTTTGACCTCTTTCCGATAATTTACGTGGATTATAAGTGCCGATTGCAATGTGTCAATTACCAGTTTTGTTCATTTCACAATATTTAATTTTTAAAAATACTTTTCAAAATTATCATGAAAATTAGGATGAATCCTGATGCGTGCTGCTTTAAGTTACATATAATTGTACACTATAGATTATTCTAAAAATAACGTCGAGTAAGACATCATCAATATATTATGTGAAGGTCATTTATATGCTATTTTTTTATTCATTATTGTGTTTTTTAGATTAAGAAATCATGTTGCCGAATAAGAAATTTGCAAAAGTCATACAAATGAAATTACCATACTATATAATTAAAAAATTCAGGTTGTTGAATCATCGGCATTGTTCATCCAATCAACCTTCCTGCATAAAAAATTAAATAATTGATAGACTTACTTCTTTCACACTTATCTCCTTGATTACCTGGCTTGCATCCATACATACAATTGCCGTTGACGTTATTGCAATAACCATGTATCCAATTGACAGAACAAATTTCCTTGCAATCTGTGCCAAACTTCAAAGCCTGACATTCTGTTAGTTATAAAAATGTTTTGCTCATTCCGATACATTAACTGTCGCGCTTAGTAGAACGATAAACGCAAGATTTATGTCAGAATAATACAGTTTTATCTGTTGATTTTGTTGTCTACAGGAATACATTGTCAACACACCCAAAACCGCACCCCAGTTCTCCTCCTCTTTACTATATGTTTTATTAAATGATATGAAAGGCTTGGAAAAATAAAACAAGTACTTATTGCTGTTGCAGAACGTTCCAACCCATCCTGGTTTACAACCTTTATTGCATTCTCTGGATTTAGGATTGCAGTCATCTTCAAAACAATTTTCTCCGCACTTTAAGGCACAGTCATCATTATTTTTGTAGGCTATTAATAAAAAGATTATTTTTATGCACTAAATATTGCTACACTTGTCATTATAAAACAAGTACAAATGTTGCTGCAATACATTAATTTAGAAGCTCCACGCAAAAAACGCTCAGTACAGATACCTTACCAAATCATACCTACACACAGGTCATGTTATATTCAGATTAGGTACAATTGTACATTTTTCCAAAATGTTTTTTAAAATCATTGTTGTATATTTATACTTATCGTATGCACTGTCCTGTAAATGAGGGGCCAGATATTAAACAAAAAAAATGCTTTCACTGATGCCTGCCTGGTAAGGAAAGTAATTCCATTGAATACAAACGAGACTTACACAATTTGTTAATGTATAGTGATATGACTGTAGTGCAACAGTGTTCTGTTTGTGTCACTACTGTAGTCAGTAACATAAGATGATAAAAATATCAAAGCATGTACATTTTCTTTGTACCTATAATCCTCCTCATATTTTACAAATATAAACAACTAATCATGGTAAGAAACATAAAAATTCATATGTTAATAAACCAAAATTGATATAACAAGAAAAACATTGATGCAAAGCATCAAAGCAAGAAATGCAGCAAATGACGATGAACTAGTAGGCATCTGATTACTAGATATTCTTTTTAACTTTTCAGCGGTTAATCTGATTGTATCAGAATTGTATATCATATAGATTAATGGGAGGACAAAACACATTGTTTATTAGGAACTTTGGTAGGTTTGCTAGAGATTAGAAAATTAAATGTATTTTCTTTGGAACATAAAAAAACAGTAGTCAAAATCAACAAAGTCTGTATTTTATTATATTAATTGTAACAAATATACAAATAGCAATACTTGTTTTGCAATATATGAATATTACATGCATTTTTATGCCAAATTAAACTAAATGGTTTCTTTTAATACCTGGGATTTAAGATTTCAAGTCCCAGATAAATACTGAAAGTAGAACACACACTGGAATGAAAAAAGGTCGTATGAATTTCAAAAAGACCAAATTCAGGAATTTTGTTCGTCATACACGTGTAACATTACATGGTGAAACATTATTTGTTAATATAATAGAAGATTAGGCAGGCATTAGGAAATTCACTAACATCATGTTCGTGCGAGATATAAAAGCTACTTGACATTGGTGATATATAAAATGATATTGTTTATTGATTTTTTGGGATATCAATATATCATTTTGTTGAATTGCTTCAAAACCCTCTGTGTTTACGTTCATAGATAAACATTTCACCTCATGTTCAAAGTGCAGACACAAAATTTTGTTGTTAAAATGTTACAGTATTTGGCAAATCAACATTCCACTCTCAAACCACTATAAAACCGAATGCCTTCAAATAAAATAGAATTAACTTCTTCGAGAAATCAGAGTCGATTTAAAGGAGGAGCTATATATACTAGGTTCCTATGATATCACGGGTTCTATGATATCACGAGTGTTATGATATCACAGGTTCTATGATATCACAGGTTCTATGATATCACGGGTTCTATGATATCATGGGTTCTATGATATCACAGTATTTACATTTTCTGTAATTGCTGGTAAAAGAAACACACAATGATGCTAACATTTTTCAAACTGGAATACTAAATTCTTTAATCTGCCAATAAATTTACTTTCGTAAGAAAATTATTTTATAAAACCTTCATATCTGACAATCATTTCCCTGAATCGTTTCCCCCCAGGCAATATAAATATGTTATAATCCAATATTATGGCATTTTGACTGTTCATATAGCTGGAATTTTAAAGTAAGTTGGCAGTACGAAGATATTCACAACTTAATTTGAAGACTTTGACACATCTATTCTTTCATACTTTCCTTTTTCGGGAATTACCGTGATACCATAGTAACCTCTTCTGAAATCACCCAAATTGGCAAACAATAGAAATAGTTTGAAAAATGACATTTTTATTTGATCTGTTGAATAAATCTTCGACAAACAGTTTTAGAAAAAGTTAAAATATCAAAAAGAAAAAAAATCTCATTTATGTATGATTTTTATACCTTGTATCTTAATATTTTCTGCAAAACGTTAAGTACCGTGATATCATAGAACCCCGGGCTACCGGAAATAACCTACGGAAAAAACAATTTCAAATTGATAATACTATGACATAACATTTCGTAAAAAATGGCCTACTTAAATTTTTTTCGATAAATTTATAAAGATGCAATTTATTGTTGAATATGTTTTCATTTCATTTCCTGCAAAATTCTCCAGTTCATTATTTATTACCATAGCGCGACGCGACTGACCATTTCGTTTAGACTAATACAACCTCTAAAAACAGATTTTCGGACTTTCTGTTAAGGTCATCTAGCTATTTATAGCTTTCAAATTCATCTACAGCAGTACTGCTTTCCGGTTCTCATGCTTATATATAACATGCTACAAATCAACGAAGGGGAAACCAATATATGACTTTACATAATAGAAATCGGAAGGAGTTCTTGAATCCGAATTTATTTTTTTGCAGTAAATCGAAGGGTTTTTTTGTTTTTTTTTTTTTATAAAAACCGGGCTCATAACCAAAAATAGTAAACGCAAATAGAAGTATAAAAGACAAAAACTCAAGATGATCAGAAAAGTTATAAAGAGAAATTCATTTTGTATGAAACAGCATTTATGCTTAGAAACAAATTATTATTAAATGCTTATTAACGGATACATAAACATCAGAATAAAGTCATGCCAAACACATACAATAAAATAAAAGAAAAACAGAATCCGCCAAAGATAATCAAATATAATATATTCCCTCGATCCATCACAGTCTCACAAAATCAGTCAGCAAAAACGTTTTAAGGAGCACCAATAGTATTATATTTATTAATCCTTTGTACAATTAAGACCAAGAAAGAAACGATTGACAGTTTTATATTCAAAAGGAAAATAACGAAGAAGAAATAAATAATTACCGCTCGTTTGTAAAATCAGAACTGTAGTAATCAACAAATAATTAAGATTCATTCTCTTTAATTATGTCCAATTAAACATTGTAAGTTATTGATAAAATCATGAAAGAATAAGTGCAAAAAATCTTAAGTATTTTCATTATTGTCACGAAGGAAGTATATTTCATTACACGTTTAAGAAATGTTCTACGTACTCCGATTTTTAATGTGTGTATCTCCTGAACTAAAACTTGAAATTGCAATATATTTTGTACAAAGTCAAATAACCATTGTAATTATTGTTTCGGTACTTAGATAATGAAACTTCGTCGACCAGGATGCAAGTGTCTTGGATGCTGGTTGCAACACAAGGTTAATTCAACTTTCTGGAACTTTATAAAAAGGTGCAACTCTCAGAAAAAAAATGTAGCCGAATATAGGTATAAATTGTAATTTTAACAAAATTGTTCCAGCATGTACAGCAACAAAATATCAGGCTGTGAGTTTTGATACACGTTTAACGTTAAATCTCGAAGCTTTTTGCGTATATAATTTCCTTAAATTTCTCTGAATCTGTCATTTTTAGCTCGACTTTTTTTTTTTTGAAAAAAAAAAGTAGAGGTATTGTTATAGTCGGGTCGGCGTTGTCGTTGCCGTCCGCAAACTTGTACCTGGATCATAACTTTTTTATTTCTTGGTGTATTGTCTTCATACTTGGCCACAACAACCCTTTGGACAAGACCTTTCAGTAGACCACACTAACCTTGACCTTCATCCATAAATGACCTTGACCTTCAAGGTTAAAAGTCCAATTTTTGCTTGTTCATGCTATTATTGGTTGTAACTTTATTTTTTTTGAATGGATTGTCTTCAAACTTGAACATAATAATTTTCAAGGATATCCCTTAAAAATAATTAGACAGACCTTGACCTTCACTCATAAATGACCTTGACTTTGAAGGTCAAATTATTGAAATATTCATTTTTTTGGCTATTATTGGCTGTAACTTTGTTATTTTTGAATGGATTGTTTTGAAACTTGAACATAATAATTTTCAAAGATAACTGTTAAAAATATACCGAAAGACCTTGACCTTCACTCATTAATGACATTGTCTTTGAAGGTCAAATTATTGAAATTTTCATTGTTTTGGCGGTAACTGACTGAAACAACAACAACAACAACAGAATTGGGTCATGTTTCTATTTATAGAATTGCGTCATGTTTCTATTTATAGAATTGCGTCATGTTTCTATTATACAATTGCGTCATGTTTCTATTTATAGAAATTTCGTCATGTTTATTTTTATAGAAATTGCGTCATGTTTCTTTTTATAGAAATTGCGTAATGTTTCTATTTATAGAAATTGCGTCATGTTTCTATTTATAGAAATTGCGTCATGTCTATATTTATAGAAATTGCGTCATGTTTCTATTTATAGAATTGCGTCATGTTTCTATTTATAGAGTTGCGTCATGTTTCTATTCATAGAATTGCGTCATGTTTCTATTTATAGAAATTGCGTCATGTTTCTATTTATAGAAATTGCGTCATGTTTCTATGTATAGAAATTGCGTCAATTGCGTCATGTTTCTATTTATAGAAATGCGTCAATTGCGTCATGTTTCTATTTATAGAAATGCGTCAATTGCGTCATGTTTCTATTTATAGAAATTGCGTATATTGCGTCATGTTTCTATTTATAGAATTGCGTCATGTTTCTATTTTTAGAAATTGCGTCATGTTTCTATTTTTAGAAATTGCGTCATGTTTCTATTTTTAGAAATTGCGTCATGTTTCTATTTTTAGAAAATGCGTCATGTTTCTATTCATATATATATACAAAATAGATAAACAAAACTAATGTGACAAGACAGACGAACTAAATTTATAAAAAGGAAACGTTAAGATATGTTCAAACCTTTCTATGTTTGCGTTTAGAAAAAGTAAAAAGTCGAGCGTTGCCCCCCGCCCGGCGGTGGATCTTGTTTCTCTTGAACTAAGTAGATTTCATAAAGCAAACAGACAGTGATGAACCTTATTATTGTAAAACATTACTTTATGATACAAATTTTAATATATTAGGGATGTTGCACCTTTCTATAATCGTCCACGAAGAACTCAGTCAAGACGGGTTTGCAATTTTTCATGAATTTTGCTGCTCATTGCTTCCGAGGAATCTCCCATTTTCAAGGTATTTATACTTTACCAACCAACAGATATCAAGGGGCATAAGGCAGTTGTACAAAATTATTCACTTCCCTTAAGCCTGTGCTAGGGTTTACCATTTTACCATTTAGTTTGCAATTTTCATGTGATCTTGTTGTTGATTCCGAGCATCACTATTTTCCAGTTTAACTTTTTTTCATACTTCTCCCGACGTATTTCTGTATTAACTTATACACTGTATGGGTGTTTAGGAATTGGGAGTTGGCGAGGGATTGGTTTCTCATTTTGCAGTGATCTATTAGTACATTTACTACTTCGTGAGGTATGGCACATTTTTTCAATTGAATATTCAATGTAAAGTGTTTCTTTGTCTTTACCACTTTATATCGACAGATCGCTAAATGTTTCGAGATGTGAGATGTCACGGATTAATACTTGATATTTTCTGATTTTTAAAATAAACTACGTGATAAAACATAACATTAGGTCATTTAAATTGTTTTGTAAGTATCTACTCGAAATATTTTAAGCCTTTGCTTGACACAGCACGTAATTCGTCAGTGATTGACTTCCGTATGCAGTCACATCCCGTAATATATAGCTAGATGAATGATTTTAAATGACTGGTGAAATAATTTAGCTTGTTGCCATTTTGTTTTATATTGTATAATTCTGTGAAATTCTAGATACTGTTTCTTATGAAGAAATTAGATACACATCAATACAAAACTTCTTTAAGACACGCTTGAGGTCATTTATATATATTTTCATATAGTACGGGTATTAATCATATTGAAAAAAATGTAATTAGCATCAACAATGTATTTTTTATTTTTATTTTAAATTACATATTATTGTCTATTTCTAATATACGATATCGTATGTAAAAAAGTACCATTTTGACTGATCTTCATTGGATGTGTGGAAAGAAACAGCTAAAATATCAAACAGAGTCCGTTCAAGCGCCGATAGGCCCATATTTTACCTGTTAATCGTATGCTCAGTAACAATCGCTGTAGCTCACTTTTCAAATAAATTTCTAAATATTTAATTGAAATTGATAATAATTGTATCTTCTTGATGTAAGGATGTTTATGTATGTCTAAATAAAAACAATTCAATTGAACTAAACAGAACGTACCGCCACTTAATAGTGAATATGAGGTTTTTGATACATGTGTGTTGTACGTTCTGTATAAGTACTTGTTTGAAATAAAGAAATAATTATTGGAATGAGGAAATAAAAAATAGAAAATAGATTTCAAAACTTAAGTAGGTACTATAGATCACTTAAAAGCAAACGGGAGGTCAAGTGTCCGTCTTTGTTCCCTTTTGTGACTAAAATAACAAAAACAAAAATCACACAAGTTGTTGAGACAGGAAATTCATTTCAAAATAAAATGGTAAAATAGTTTTTGTTTTCATGATGATTAAATAGTGCTGTTGATATATACCTATAGATCTTTATTGCACGCGCCTTGTAATCATGTGCTTACATCTACACATGTGAGATAATAACTCACCTTAAATTGATTAAATAAATTAATCTTAGTTTGAAATGCCTGTAATTTTTACGGTGGAGAATTTAAAGGGAGGCAATTGGAAAATATATATATTAATATGTACTAATCGAAGCGCTTAAAGCATCGGTGAAGTCTTTTAATGCACTAAGAAACTGACATATTCGGCGATAATTATCAATCCACACCAATCCATTTTTTATTTCATTGATAATGTTTGTTTTGTTTATTTATTTATGTATAAAAATAACATTGTCGTTTATTTTTTGTTCCAAACTGAGTAATTACTGAACATTACTGATTGTGAAGACCTCTCCGTGTCGAACGTCAAAAATCAGAAAAAAATATCTTTTATGTTTGAGTGTAAGAGCTTTCTTGATATTGAATATATTTGATAATATACAAGTAAAATAAATAAAATTCATAAATAATTGCTAAATTTCCCCTTTGGTTTTTTAATGAATTAGTTGGCTTATGATAAATTTAAATATTTAAGTGACATTATGCTCAAAAATATAAAAATATACCCATATTAAACATTACATATTCCAATTAATATTTACAGTAAATTTTGAACTGTTCGCATTGGCATAATGCCACTAAAATAAAATATTGAAAGTAGAATAATATTTGTTTTTGATAGAAAAAAACAGGTATCAATATTTTCACAGAATTATTGACGTCATAACAAAGTTGATGTTTTCATTCATGCATTCAAACAGAAAAAATAACTACACGATGCTTAAATAATGAAAGATTTTGCTTTGATTAAACGAAACTTAATAAATGACTATCTCAATGTAGTTAAAGACGTTCAATTCAAGAACGGAAAAGATAGCCATTCAAACATAGGATTAAGGCATTCACATTGTTTTAATATTGTTTGGAAAAAGAAAATGTCCTACCATTAATGTAGAAAATTTAACGAAGTTGGTAATCAGAAAGTGGATGAGCGACAGACCTGAAGTCAATCGACCACATGTTAATGCTGTAATAAGCAGTCGATGTGAAAACTGTTACGAAAATTTACCGTTGGCCAGTTATGTCGAAAACTTACGTAGTTGCTGGGAAAATAAATTATTTTTTCTCGCTCGCCCGCACGACGTCCGCCCGCCGCCCGATATTCACCATACCATAACATGTGATTGCACCTGTGCAACAAGGCCAAAATTCGAACAAAATATTAATAGCTCATAGTCACTTGAGCTGAATCCATAGAACACGAAAGAAAAATAAGTACATTGTACTTATAATCTAATCTAGAAAGTTCACTGGTAGACTAAAAATGATTATCAGTGAGCACAAAATGTGTAATCGAAAAACTGTAACTCTTCATCAATAAAAAGTATATTTTCCCCTTAAGAACACTGAAATGAAATAACCCTCGACAATTGTTTTGAATATAGCTTTCTTAAAAACATACTTAAAATATCTCAAGACGTTACTTGCAAACACTATTGAAATCTAATAGTTTTATTATGTAGACATCCAGTGTGAATTAAACAAACCTTTTGAAAGAAGGAAATATTAGCGGTGGAAATAAAAGTTTTATTCTTCTTTTTTATCATATGTTCTTATTTTCAAGGAAATAAATACAAATGAACTTTGATTAAGAAACGATTTTGCATCGCATTCTAAATAATAATGTGTCATACTTTTAAAAAAAAGTATTTTCAATAGATAAATGTAAAATACGAACCACTACGGTAAGTGCCCCCCGAGCAACCCAATTTTCATTTTTGTCCGTTTCGGTAACTTTACCATTTCACATTCATTATTTTCATACGATTTAAAAAAGGAAACGCATCATTTGTCGCAGTCATTTTGAAATGACCTATGATTAATTGTAATAGAGATGACATGCTAGTTGGAAATATTAACGATTCTAATGATGATACTGATTCTATCGTAACATTTTTGTCCCTTTCCGTCAGTCTTCGAAAAGGGCTTCAATCACATCAGTAAAAATACGCAAAACGGATACGGTATCTTGGTCTAACCTACACTGAGAAACTAAACATGATAACGCTGATGTATTTTTATGTACTTTTGTTTTTTATTTACGACTCGCAAAGTAATCGTGTCATTCCACAGTCTTTTTCAAAATACTGTAAAGCTCGGCTGCTTCGCAGTCGAATCAGCCTTAACAATGCACATCTGATCATTCCATGCGTGCGTAAAACCTCTCTTGTGTTTAAATATATAAGAATAATTAAAATGTGTATATTTAAAATCAAATTTCAATTTTGATTTATCTTCCTTATTAGAAGAGGCATTATGTCTGAGTAGTATTGATCAATAGTTTTGTTGCTTTTGTTTAATTTCTCACTTAACCGTTTTCATTGTTTATATATATTGTTCCTCCCTGTCGAGTAGAAAACCCTTAAGATATTTTTATTTGTATAATTATGCTGTCATTTCTTCATTTATGACGCGATTGTCGGAACTGATTAGTAAAATGGATTTTATTTGTTTGTTGCTAAGTTTCCCTCTGATTCCACAAACATTCGGTAACTATTATTTGTTTTTTATGCAGTATTTCAAGTTATTTAATTTGTGTTCTTTATGGTAAGAAATACTGGAAAGTCGCCTGATAACTTTAATTCGTTTGTGTTTTAAACCCAAAAAAACGGGTTATGTCAACTCTTTTATTGCTTTTGTCTTCAAACTTACATTATGTGTGGTACATTAGTGTGACTCACGGCTTATGTAATACTTGTTTCATGATGATATATAAGTTACCTTAGAACTTGAATAAAATAACCTGAATTGAACGAGCTTGAACAGCTGGTTTTGATCAAGTTCATCCTAACCAATAACAAATATATCAAATCATATATTGTGAACCGATTTGACAAAAAATGTTTTGGAACTAGTATTTAAACGACTACACGAAAATAAAAGAATAAACAGCGCAAAATAAATTTGGGTTATCCCTTTATTGTTTTAGGGTTTCGGTATAATGTACATACAACATATCATTGTCCTTGTTTTTTAGGTTGACAAAAGGTTATTGTTACGTGAAAAAAATGAATATAAAACGATTAACTTCAAAAGAAAGAAATAATTAATTCATAAATCATTTTGTTGAGAAATAGGAAAATATTTATCAACTTTCTTGGTCGATAAAACGCTTATTTAATTAGCGTTCACATGTTTGCTAGAAATTGTGATTTTATGTGTAATTGCAAGAAAAAAAAGAAATATGTGACGTAATTTCCAGTGAATGTTCATTTAGGTGTGCACGTACTTTTCTGCATGTATAATACAGCATTCTGATAGATATGTTTTCAACACTGATAATTTAATACAGATTATGTTCTACTCTGTTCTGATTAAATTATGACAATATTTTGCGTCAAATCTGAAAGAATATTTTAGAAATGTTTTTTTTTAATGTTGTAACAGTCATGTTAGATTAACGTATTTTCTTGAATTAAAGGACAGATTACACAAATGGAGATCAACGGCCCCGTATTCTTTCGCTTTAACATTTCTGCTGTAATATTTTTAAATCATGAAGTGGTTATTAATTCTTTGATGATATTTTCATTCTACTTATGAATGTGTATGTTCATATATAAACTGTACCGAGAGTCTTTCTTCCAGTTATCATTACTATTAACAGTTTTATTCGTTTTTTTTGACGTTGTCTTACTTTTTTGTTATCTTTTTATGAATTTGAATAGTGTGCCCGGATGATGCTAAACGTCCAGTTCTAATGTATTTCTTAATATAATTCCATACCATTCTTTTCATTAATAGTTAATATTTAATGGAAAGATGTATAAAAACTCCATTATCACTTAAAGTTATAGATAAAAAAATGAATATTACTTAGTTACCTTTGGTCTTGTTGCTGTTGTCTTTGTTTTGTTTTTGGTGTGTATTTTTCACATTAGTTTTAACTCTGACTAAGATATAAATTAATACCATTGTCTTGCCAATAAAAGATTGTCAACTATTACAGATGAGAACAAATTTCTTTTGAACTTCTTATGTCACATTTCTAGAATTATGTCCGTTAAGAAACATATACGCGATATAAACATTAACAACTACAAAGTAAACACAATGTTACGTTATACAGCATAAAAATGATACATGTGTATCAAATGTTTTTGTTTTGTAGTTATATATATGTTTTTATTATAGTTTCATATAAAACACTAATGTCGTATGTGTTTTACTTTTTTTTTCTTATGTTTGTGTATCCGTTAATAGTTGTTTTTGTTTATTTTGTAAGCATAAGTTTTATATTTTATACTTTTATTTTATTATGAGAAGTAAAGCAATATTTAGTGCACAAATATCATCTATTTTGCGTAGCCTGCGACAATAATTATTATGACTGCGCCGTAAAGTGTGGGAAACATTGTTTCGAAGATGACTGCAATCCAAAATCCGGAGAATGTACTAAGGGTTGTACACCAGGATGGGAGGGAGTGTTCTGCACCCAAAGTTAGTATTTGTTTTTAATTTAATTGTTTGCATACTATCAAGGTTGAGACGCAGAGAGAGAGAGAGAGAGAGAGAGAGAGAGAGAGAGAGAGAGAGAGAGAGACAGACAGACAGACAGACAGACAGACAGACAGACTTATTACATAAAATCGTTAAATATGTACTTTAAAAAAATATTGTTTTATACTTAAATTTAGATAGTTACATGATTTGTGAGAGTGCAATAATTATAATCATTATGTTTATATTTGAATAAATTTGATTATATCTCAAATATCTCGTATGTCTCTTAAATGAATAATAAGATACTGAAGTATGTCATATTTTTCTTGTTAAGTTTTTATAACTTGTGAACAAAAATGCATTTACTTATTACAATATTTTTGAAAATAGAGTGTAATGCTGGTTTCTATGGTCAAAACTGTTCGATAACGTGTAGTGTACATTGTGCAGGTGCATACGGAAATTGCGATTCTATCAGTGGACGTTGTCGATCAGGTTGTAATACAGGATGGACGGGCCCACTTTGTGACAGAGGCTAACTTAATTATCTTAATGACAAACGTTTCATATAAACATAGTATTTATATTTGCAAGTGCATTAAATGTATGTGTCATTTAAAACACCCGCCATATTATCGCAAAATATAGAAAGAATATAGATCTAACAGCAAAATGATGTTCGCTCTTTCTGTATTATAACGTTCTAGTAACAATGAAAGCATAAATTACGAATGAACAATCGATATTCAAATTCAAATTTGATAACGTTCATAATTTTTGAATCTGCACCTAAAAGTATCTCCCCTTGAACAATATATTTTAATGATATACTAAGCTCAAATTTCATTTTTGAAATTATTTATAAATGTTACACAGTATCTTTGCAAATATAAAATAAATATGTTTTAACTTCACCCAAAGAAGATATTTTTGTTTAAAATTCTACACACTTTAGATGCTTTCAATATGAATATATAGTGTCATAAAAAACTGGCATTTTTTTAAGAAAAGACTAATTTTACATGAGCTGTAATAGGGAACGCAGCTCCCAATATATAATTAAGTCATTTTTTTGTATTGAAATCGGACATTTTGTATAAGAATTACATAAATTTCAATAAATTGCTGTGATAAAATATTTTACAATATGATGAGCATAGTAATTCTTTAGGAAATATTGTAGGGTGTCCCCATTATCACAGGGTAAGTGTTGTTACTCTAGTTCTCAATTTCAAGAATAAAATTCTCTGTGCATATATTTCCTAACATGTTTATTCTTTTCGAAAGTGCCATTACCATTGAAGAAAAAAAAAATGGGCACAGCAATGGGAAGCCCTATGGCACCTTCATATGCTTCATTATTCATGGGTAGACTAGAAGAGCAATTTCTTAACTCTACTTGTGTAAAACCTGATGTCTGGTTACGTTTCTTAGATGATACTTTTATGATTTGGAATGATTCTTTGGAAACGCTTAACTTTTTTATAGATTCCTTAAATAGTTTCCACCCGAATATTAAATTCACTTACAATATTTCTAAGTGTTCAGTATCTTTTCTTGATGTTTCTGTATCTAAAGACGAAACAGGAAAAATTGTTACCGATATATTTTGCAAACCTACAAATATGCATTTGTATTTAGATTTTACATCCTCTCAACCTTTATCATGTAAGCGTGGTATCCCGTTTAGTCAAGCTAAACGTTATAAACGTGTCATTTCCGATGACGGTACTTTTAAGCAGTCTTTAGATACGTTAAATAGATATTTTTCTGATAGAAATTATCCTAAATCTATTATTGAGAAAGCATTTTCTAAAATTGAAGGCATGTCCCAAAATGATGCTCTTAGTCCTGTCGTTAAAAATGCTAGTTCAATAATACCTTTAACTGTATGTTTTTATACATCTCTGCCTAATATTGGTGAAATCTTAAATAAATATTGGGATCTATTACTTTTGTCTGATAAGGTAAGCGTTAAAAATATACATACCAAGTTCAAACCTTTTTTAGCATATAGACGTCCTAAAAACATCCGAGATTATCTTATGAGAAGTGCTTTACTTGATCGCACATTTTCATCTAGCCAATGTTTACGAAGTAGATGTTTACATTGTAACAATATAATTGTTGGTTCCCAATTTAATAGCAGCATAACAGGTAGTTCTTTTGATTTACACAATGATGTTAACTGTACTACGCGTAATGTAATTTACCTCATTACATGTAAAAAGCAATACGTAGGTCAGACTAATCAAAATGTATCATGCAGAATGAATAAACATAGATTTGATATAAGAAATTGTGACGTAAATCCAGTTTCACATGTTGCGATCCATTTCTGATCAAACGATAATAAGTGTTCATTGTCAGATTTTTCATTTTTACCTATAGAAATTATAGAAAACAACATGGATCGGTTATGTAAAGAATCTTTTTGGATCCATAAATTAAATACTATGATTCCAAATGGACTAAATAATAAAGTATTATTTGATTTATAATGCGTTACATATATATTAATATGTTTGTCTATTATCTTATTTTTATTAACACTGTCTAATAGACATATGTATCACTGTTGATCCATTTTAATTCATGTACCAGCTTTTTTATAGCATAAATATTTGTTTCTACATGTTATCATAGTTTTGCCGCTAAACGCCATAACGTTTTTTCGCGCGTTTAACGTGTGTTCCGTTATGACGTCGCTTCCGGTAATTTTATTATGTTTTGCACTGATGAAGGCATATAGCCGAAACGTTTGCAATAACATTTAATTACTGAATGTTCGTGTTTGTGTGGCTTGTCTGATTATTACCATTGAAGGAAATATAATTAGTTATTATTTTCATGACCATCCACATCTAAAATTCAAGAATTACCCTCCTCCAAATATGACGAGTTCTTTATGATGAGATGTCCTATGGTACTAAATAATTAATAGAATAGATACTTTCTAAGAAAAATGTCATATTTCTATTAACGCGTTAATTGATAGTTGCTTATGATTATTTTCTTTTATTATTTTACATTAAGTTGGCAACAAATGAGAAATGTAACACATTGGTAATCCTTTATCAGAATGTCAGTCTATGTCGTTTGAGGTAGAATGTAGGGAGAAATGTTACACCATTTGCAAACGTTTTATTTTGAACTAAATTTTATGTTGTGTTATGCTTTAGAATCTACATGTCTCATATGTTTATTATTTCACTTCGTTACTTATAAAATATTTTATTAAAATAAAGATATTGAATAGTAATTGACGTCATTTTGTACTATTTCGATCTGAACATATTTGACAGCATGCATATAATGATAATTTCTGAACAACTGTTATTTGTTTGTTTTTATGGTTTCGTTTTTTTCAATTTATAAAATCAAGACAACTACAACTGTTACTTCATCTTTTATTATCATAAACAGAATGTCAAGCTGGAAAGTTTGGTGCACAATGTCAGGAGGACTGCCCATTAAACTGCAAGCAAGGTGTATGCTATAATGTCAACGGGGAATGTAATCAAGGATGTAATCCGGGCTATCAAGGAGATAAGTGTACAGAAAGTAAGATTTCTTATATCATCCTGTACTTGTCATAAAATGCGTTATAAAACATATAATATTTTGATACGATTGTTACGATTAATAAGTGTTTTATCAACTATAATTATTCGGTATAAATATAAAATGTAATTGTATACCTGTAAATGACTGCTACGAATGTCGACGTACATTTTGAATGCTCTTATAAATTCTTAAAAAGTTTGTGACTAAATGTCAAACCTAGTGTAAATGGTCAATAAACAGGTGAAAACCAAAGCTACTTGACTTGCCATAATTGTATTCAATTTTACATTTAACAATAAAGAAATCAATAATCCATGTAACCGACGGGAATTTTTTATTATCAAAAATACTATTTTTACAGCTAAGATCGTTGGATAGTGTGACATATACAATTTTCAATATCAGTATGTGGTAAATCACCATGATATAAGTCATTTTTGAATATATTACTGATTCAAATTTTTCTATAATCAAGAGACCCGGGCGGGCCAATTTTGACCCAAGATGACGATGAATAACAATTTTACAGACGTTCATATGGTACTAGTAATACTTAATGCTAAATTTCTGAGCTAGTTGTATTGAAACTTCATAAAATATGACTGAAATGTGTTTCTCATTCAAGACTGCATCACCTTATTAATCCCAGGGGCCAACATTGACCCACGGGACATGACTAATACATTTATACATGTTTCATATAGGGCAACAAGGCAATGCTACATGTGAAATATCTCTATTGTATTGTATTTTCAACAAAATAAGACTTAAAATGCGATTTCTACACAAAAGTATAGTAACTAAGTGATTTCAGGGCTACACTAACAATTTTGCATGCTAGATATCTAGGCTCTAAACATTGTTAATTCACCCAATGAAACTTAAATGTGTTTTACTATATGCTTAAAACATTTCTCCTGATTTGAATAGATATGAAAGTAATCACTTAAATCAGTGTGCGCTGCAGAAGTGTAATAAACCATCTAATAAAACAAGTAAATAATCACATTTTTGACCACTTGTCCGACATTTTCGACAAAAACAAGTTGTTAAGTTGTTGTAACTTGTCAACCAAAAGATATCGACTTATTACAATATTTTTGAAAATAGAGAGATAATGCTGGTAACAATGGTCAACTATTGCTATGCTTAATGTATGACATTGATCATTAACGTCATATCTAACGATTATAAAAACCAAAAGTAATAATTATGATAGTGTTAATATTTGAATAAGTTTAATTACATCTCGTGCATTCGTTTAAATGATTAATAGGATAATGTTGAGTTATTATGTATACATGTGTATATTGTAATATATTTTACTTTTTTATAACTTGGCAACAAAAATTCATTTACGTACTAGCATTAGGGAAACATGGTTTGAATGTTTTGTTGATTGTTCCAAAAAATTATAAAATCCTGCGATGCCGTTGATATTAAAAACAATCTATCTGACATTTCTCGATTTACTGTGTACGTTCTGTCAATTACGACTTAAAATCAAAACATGTATAATCAACAGTTCATTTAAATATAAATTAAGGTTACGTAAAATGTCATACAATTATTGCTTAATATTACACGATAGCATACACATGGATTTATCAAAATGCTACTTTGTCTTGTAAAATGTCAAGTAACGCATAAAATTGTTTATTTTTATACACACAAAGTTAATAGAGCGATACTTCTTAAAATAATATTACTCGTAAGCAGTAAAAATAAAACGAGTAAACGTCTAGCAACCGACATTCGTATTCCATTCTAAAATTCCACATTCACTCATTTAAGATAGTTAGACTAACGTATGTATATATGCTAATATTGCCAGAAATAGATAGCCGAATATATGGGTTTTTTGAATCTTTGTTTATTATCTATAATATACAAGCAATTAATTGTATATATTGTCATATTTTTCTTGTTATTTTTTCATAACTTGTCAACGAATATACATTTACTTATGAGCATATTTTTGAAAATAGAGTGTAATGCTGGTTCATATGGTCAAAACTGTGTGGAAAAGTGTAGTGAACATTGTAAAGGTGGACAAGGAAATTGCGATACTATCAATGGAAATTGTCGATTGGGTTGTAATCCAGAATGGACTGGCCGACTTTGTGACAAAGGTTAACTTAATTGATTGTCTAATTATTTATTTGCACAGACGTTTCATACAAAGCATGGGTTTATTCTTTAATATGGACTACGATACAACCACTTTATATTCCTTTAAAAATGCTTATTCTTGTTTCTATTTTATTTATATGTTTTCGCAAAGGAGATATGGATTTGATGATTTAAGATGATTGCTTCAAAAAGAAATATAACGTAACGATGCCGTAGATATTTATATAAACAATCAGACATTTCTCGAATTACTGTGTACGTTCTTTCAATTACGACTCTTAATTTTAAAACATGTATAATCAACAGTTCATTTAAATATAAATTAACGTTAAGTTAAATGTCATACATTTATTGCTTAATATTACACGAAAATTGCTTAAAATTTTCCTGTACAATTTTAAGTAACGCATGAAAATGTGTATTTTTAATCACAAAAACATAATAGAGCGATACTTCTTAAAATAATATTACTCGTAAGCAGTAAAAAATAAAACGAGTAAAACTCTAGCAACCGACATTCGTATTCCATTCTAAAATTCCACATTCACTCATTTAAGATATTTAGACTAACGCATGTATATATGATAATATTGCCAAAAATAGATACCCGATTATATGAAGTTTTTTTTTTAAATATTTGTAACTAATCTCTAATATATGAGTTTGTACATGTATAAGTTTTTATTGTTCTTGTTATCTTTTTGATACTTTGTCAACAAAAATAAACTTATTAGCATATATCTTTGAAAAAAGGATGTAATGCTGGTTCCTATGGTCAAAACTGCTTGAAACCATGTAGTGAGCATTGTGCAGGATCCGGTTGTTCAAAACATTGGTTAGTGTTAACCAGTGGTTAAATTCATTATCCGCTGGTTAAATTTTGTCTGTTGGATAAATTCTGTTGCTCAAAACTTATCCAACGGATAAAATGCGTTATCCAGTGGTTAACTTTAACCAGTCCTATGACCACCGGATAATGCCCTTAACCAGTGGTTAGTCATCCTCATTAAAACAGTAAAAAGCATTAAAACTTGTTTGAAACCAGATTTTTCTTACAAATATATGTTTATTTTTTCTTTACTAGAACATTTCATAAGAAATGCATAGGATTAAATTGAAACATTTCTGAAAAAGTGCTTTTAAAAACCTTTTTCAATCTAAATTTGTTGTTGTTGTAGTTCAGAAAATTCGGTTAAACAGTCATAACTTTCTTATTCTGTAATAAAATATACAAGTATCAGTACTCATTTTCTTAGTTAGAACATTTCCCATCTAATGGAAGTAATTTCAATTTAAAATTTGAAAAAAAGTTGTTTTTGAATTTTTTCTTTTGTGTGTCTAAGGGAAAAATAAAACTATCAATACTTTAAGGCCTCTGATATACTTTATGTTTAATTCCAAAAACAAGAAAGCACAAAACATGCAAAATTATTTCTTTAGGAGCTTCATGATTCTAATAAATTTATTATTCATTAAAAAAACGGCCATTTTGTTTCCAGAATCACTAACCAGCCCTGTTGCATTGTGGTACTTAACCAGTGGATAAATACGCTATCCACTGGTTAGGTAGCCAGTACACTATCCAACTATTGAACAATGAAATTTTATCCACTGGATAGCTGGCCGCTGGTTAAGAATTTAGCCAGTGGATAAGCTATCCATTGGTTAATTTTAACCAATGTTTTGAACAACCCGGTCCAGGTGGACAAAGAAATTGCAATCCTATCAATAGACATTGTCGATCAGGTTGTAATCCAGGGTGGATTGGCACACTTTGTGACAGAGGTTAATTTAATTGATTTTCTAATTATTTATTCACAGACGTTTCATACAAAGCATGTGTTTATTCTTAAACATGAACTGCGACACATCCACTTTATATTCCTTTAAGAATGTTTATTCGGATTTCTATTTTATTTATTTGCTTTCGCAAAGGAGATATGGATTGATGATTTTAGATGATTGCTTCAAAATAAATAAAACACTACGATGCCGTAGATATGTAAAAGCAATCAGACATTTCTCGAATTATTGTGTACGTTCTTTCAATTACGACTTAAGTCAATGACATGTATAATCAACAGTTTATTTAAATATGAATTCACGTTAAGTAAAATGTCATACATTTATTGCTTAATATTACACGATTGCATACACATGGATTTACAAAAATTGCTACTTTTTTCCTGTAAAATTTCAAGTAACGCATGAAAATGTTTATTTTTTTCACAAAAGATAATAGAGCGATGCTTCTTAAGAAATATTACTGGTAAGCAGTAAAAATAAAACGAATAAAAATCTGGCAACCGACATTCGTATTTCATTCTAAAATTCCACATTCACTCATTTAAGATAGTTAGACTAACGCATGTATATATGATTATATTGCTAGAAGTAGATACCCGGTGATATGTTTTTTTTAAACTTTGTAACAAACCTATAGTATACGAGTATCTATATGTATATACTGTTTTTATTATCTTCTTTATAACTTGTCAACAAAAATAAACTTATTAGCATATTCTTTGACAATAGAATGTAATGCTGGTTCCTATGGTCAAAACTGCTTGAAAACGTGTAGTGAGCATTGTGCAGGTGGACACGGAAATTGCGATACTATCAATGGACATTGTCGATCAGGTTGTTATCCAGGATGGACTGGCACACTTTGTGACAAAGGTTAATTTAATTGATTATCTTCATATTTATTCACAGACGTTTCATACAAAGCATTGGTTTATTCTTAAATATGAACTAAGATGAACACACTTTATAATTCTTTAAAAATGCTTAGTCAGTTTTTTTACTTTATTTATTTGTTTTCGCAAAGGAGATATGGATTGAATGATTTTATAAGTTTTTTTTCGAAAAGAAATAAAACACTAAGATGTCGTAGATATTTAAAAACAATCAGACATTTGTCGAATTACTGTGTACGTTCTTTCAATAATGACTACATTCAAAAACATGTATAATCAACAGTTCATTTAAATATAAATTAACGTTAAGTAAAATGTCATACATTTATTGTTCTTGTTATCTTCTTTATAACTTGTCAACAAAAATATACTTATTAGCATTTTTTTTGAAAATAGAGTGTAATGCTGGTTCCTATAGTCAAAACTGCTCGAAAAGGTGTAGTGTGCATTGTGCAGGTGGACACGGAAATTGCAATACTATCAATGGACATTGTCGATCAGGTTGTAATCCAGGGTGGACTGGCACACTTTGTGACAAAGGTTAATTTAATTGATTTTCTAATTATTTATCACAGACGTTTCATACAAAGCATTTGTTTATTCTTATATATGAACTAAGATACACGCACTTTATATTCCTTTAAACAATTTTCGGGTTTCTATTTTATTTATTTGTTTTCGCAAAGGAGATATGGATTGAATGATTTTAGATGATTGCTTCAAAAAGAAATAAAACACTACGATGTCGTAGATATTCAAAAACAATCAGACATTTCTCGTTCTTTCAATCACGACTTAGTTAAAAAATATGTATGATCAACAGTTCATTTTCATATAAATTTACGTTAAGTAAAATGTCATACAATTATTGCTTAAAATTACACGAAAGCATGCACACGGATTTATAAAAATTGCTACTTTGTCCTGTAAAATTTCAAGTAACTAATTAAGATTATTATTTTTTTTTCACAAAAAGATAAAAGAGCGGTGCTTCTTAAATTAATATTACTTGTAAGCAGTAAAAGCAGTTAAAATAAAAATAGCAAATTCTAGCAACCCACATTCGTAGGTGTTCCATTCTAAAATTCCACATTTACTTATTTAAGATAGTTAGACTAACGCATGTATTTACAATAATATTGCCAGAAGTAGATACCCGATGATGTTTTTTTTTTAATCTTTATTACTTATCTATTATATACAAGCATTTGCATGTATATATTGTCATATTTTTCTTCTTATCTTTTCTATAACTTGTCAACAAATATATATTTACTTAAAAGCATAATTTTGAAAATAGAGTGTAATGCTAGTTTCTATGGTCCAAACTGCACGGACAAGTGCAGTGAACATTGTGCAGGTGGACACGGAAATTGCAATACTATCAGTGGACATTGTCGATCAGGTTGTAATCCAGGATGGACTGGCCCACTTTGTGACAGAGTTTAACTAAATTAATTATCTAAAGGATAATTCGCATAAACGTTTCATATACACATGCTATTTATATTTGCAAGTTCATTTATTGTATATGTCATTTAAATCACCCAGCGGATTATCGCAATATATAGCAAGTAATAAATTACAGCAAAATGATGTTTACTCTTTTTGTAATATAACGCACGAGTAACAATGAACACATTACCTCGAGAAAGCATAGAATACGAATAAACAGTAGATCCCAAAAACACCCACTTTAGACGATACCGATATTTATAGAAACAGTTATAACAAGATATGCTTGTAAAATATGTATGCTCCCTAATGGCAGCCCTGACTATGACCTAGTGGCCAAATAATCAATAGGAATTATATACTGGTTATTTATAGTTACTAGGTTATGCCAACGTCAAGACTGTGTGCAGCACTTTTATGACCTGGTTATTACAAATCTTATTAAATGATTATGCATAAATTTAATGAATCACGTAGGCGTCCTTAAAATGTAGGCCTCCTAAATGAAAGCCAATATGTTATATTTCATACGAAAGGTGAATACCAAAAGTATATCTTTGAATTTAGAGTGTAATGCTGGTTTTTAATGTCAAAACTGCATGGTAAAAAGTGGTGAACATTGCGCAGGTGGACAAGGAAATTTTGTTTGTTTGATTTGGTTTACGTCGCACAAATACAGTATAGGTCAAATGACGATGTTACATCTTTACTGGTGGAGGAAGACCTCAGACGCTATTCCGCACATTATTTCAGCCACAAACTGGCACCTGAATAGAATCACTAACGTTCTGTAAGCTAGCTTGATAGCTTCCTAACGGAAGACTCAAAAGAGTTCTTGTCAAAATTCGAACCCACAGCGGTAAGGGGCAAGTTGTTTGAAGTAAATGACCTTAACAACTCGGATAAGCGCGCCCCTACAAGGAAATTACAATCCTATCCATGCACATTTTCGATTAGGTTGTAAACCAGGAAGGACTGATCCACATTGTAACAGAGGTTAATTTGATTGATTAACCAATAAATTTGTCGCACAGACGTTCATACAAAGCATGGTTTTATTCACAAAAATAAACTACGACACACCCTATTCATTTATCCTTCATGTTTATGAATATTTAAGCACATGGCAAAGTATGTTCATTGAGGTGTTAACATCATTTCGTTTGTTTTAAACGATATTTGTTTTAATAGAATTTGGTTTAAATTTCAAATGATTATGTCAAACGATGAAGTAGAATGACATTTTGCCATTAACAGTGCACCTTCTCTCAATTACGACTAAAGTTCAAAACATGTTTAAGAGAATATTTAAATATAAATTAGCATTTAGTAAAATGTCATACATTTATTGGCAAATATTTCTTGTTAGCATACACTTTTGCTAATTCTCCTACGAAATTTCAGATGACACCCGAAAATGCTTATTCACATTCACAGACCGTTAATGAAGCAGTTAATACTCGTTATCAGTTAGAAATACAACAAACAAACGACCTTCTTATGGGTTCCACTTTCACTAATTTAAGTTAGTTAGACTCACGTAAATGTATATGATTATAATATCTGGGACCTGCCTTATCAACGATTGTACGATTTTGAAAATCTAATCGTACAATTTTGATCTACGATTGTCATACGCTCGATCGTAGGACTGTCCTATCAAAGCGGTCGTACGTTCAACCTAAAATCAGCATGTCTGACAAGCGTGATATGCTCATCTGTAAATGTGAGAATGCTGATGTGGCCACCGGCAAGTTTTTCCAATCTCTTACAGACGCAGACAAAGGCCGTTTTGGGCGGATGTAGTAGAAAGGTAACCAGCAATATATATTAATAGATCATTTACGATACTTAAAAGTATTTTTACATGTGTTGTAGTTGCAAAACTTTATATGCCGCTTTTAAACATCTAAAAGCCATAAATTACAGCCGTGGTCTGTAACAATTTTGAATATGTTAAATAATATGTATAACTGGCAAGCTTAGCATATCACACAGCAACCATATATTTTTCATAGGACTAGAACATGTACAGTTCATGTCAACTCATCTTCTGTTTTGAGGAACAAGTTTTTTTTTGTTTTGTTTTGTATAATCTTTAAAATGAACCAGTTATTCTTTCAATATTCTTCTTTTTAAGGCTAATTATGCCTCAGAAATGCTTGTTACAGGGTAAAAAAATACTTATGATGGCAATTGGTATAATTATAGTGAATTGGTATTTTGCACAGGTCCTTGGAATTATGTCATTCAATAAAATCAGTAAAGTCCGATTAAAGCCCATCTTTATTAATATAATTTCAAGGTCCTGTGATATTTTGTAAGGAAGTTAAAATACTACATGCGACTTTGTTTACATTTTACTACCTTAACAACACACCACTTCACATTTAGTGCTGTTAAAATGTCTTCAGTTGTTAATCATCTTACAGGTTCCTGAATCATTATCAAAACATAATTAAACAAACGTTTGACATTTCTAAAGAATTAACATATATGCCTAATGTGACATTAAGCTATCAATCTCCTTTCTAATCTTAACTTTTGTAGTATATTTTTTAAGTTTGATTTGTTTTAGTGTGAACTGTGTAAGCGGATTTGAAATGATGTTATATTTTCGATCCATGAAGATTGTTCAGCACGACATTATTGTTGTGCTTGTGGTATTTTTAGTTTCAACTTTTCGGCATTTTTTAGTTGGGTGGTTCCAATATTCCTACTTGAATAATGTTGAATCACCCTTAGGATACGAGGCCTGCTTTTTAAATTTGTCTTTTGACGTCTTATCTGTGATACGCAGGCTTCATAACCTCTGATCCCCTTTCAAAATTCCATTTAATTTAGTTCTGCCCATTGTTTTCTCGTTTAGAGCACACGCTTTTTATTTCTTGGGGACCATACGCCGCTTTTCATGGAATGGCACGGAAGTGTTACATTGAAGGTTCCATGATAACCGCCGTATGAACACATCTGCGGATGTTTCTAAATTCAAAATTTTACTATTTCATTTTTAAATGTTGAATTCTGCTTAAGCCGGTGCTAGGGGGCGTTGAAAGTAACTTGCACTTTCCAGTACCGTCCATGAACAGGCTCAATCAAACCGAGCCTGCAACATTTTCAATTTTGCCGTGTTGGGCTTTCTTTAGGGATTCTGTATTTACTATTGAAGAACACTTGAACAAGTCAAATAGAAATGGATTGACTTGAAGGTTTGTGTTTTAATACTATCATTTTTTTAAATTCATTTTACTGTCATGTATTTTTAAATTACATGTGAAAATAATTCTATATTAAGAGCAAAATCTAATAAATTGTAATGTGAAAGCTTCGTTAAGCTGAATATTTAACCAAAACTAGATTTTTTTTTACCAAAATAAAGTATTTTTATTGAATGTCAACCTTTCTGTCAAGCTGATTTTTACAACACCTACAGATCCTTCCTTGCATGACATTTTGACCCCAATTTTGTGAAAATTTAGATGTTGCAAAATTGTTAATGTTTATGCTGTTATCAATATGTTTTCAACAAACATCAAATTTATTAGTTACTATTCATTTCATACTAAAGGGTAACAATGTACCTTGTTTCTAAAAAAGCAGGCAATTTATTTCACCCTTTTACCAGTAAATAGTACTAAATACCCTGCCCTACTACATATTTTCACGAAGTTGTGACTTTATATTACACAACAAGAACAAGATCTCAGGACGGTGAGATTAGGTATTGACAGTTTCTAGATACTTTTAGTTTAACTCTGTCTTCATTACAGACACAAATGGAATTTATTTAAGGCTGATACATATGATTAATAATCTTTTCAGTCACAAGCCAAGAAGAAAACTATACAGCATATTGCGGAAACCAGAAAACAGGTGGTGGCCCAGCCCCTATCTGAGACCTGGAGGCATGGGAGAGCAAGGTATGAATTGATTTTATAGTTAGTATGGTGTAACCATAATAGAAAACGTAAACATTGTCTGAAGATACATAAACTGTTTTTCCAGTTTTTATAATATTTCCCATTGCAAAATTATTGCTAATAATTGCATTTTTTTCTGCAACACTGTTCTGACATTAATATTGAAAGTTTCTTAACATCAACATTATCTTTTGTACAAATATTTCATATGTAAAGTTAATTAATAGTTAAAAATGTATTAAGGAAAATTGTTGTAGAATGGCTAGTATGGAAACATTTTCCCTATAATTTATGTGAGATTTTTCCCTTTATTTTATCTTTTTTTAAATTTTGTGTACAAACAGATATCATCATCATCATCATTGCTTTTTGTCCACTTAAAGTATCCTGCATATCTTTCGTGTCTCTAAAACAAGTAAAGCTATAAACAGTCAATGTTTTCAGTCATGCTATTATGTATATTGATATTTATTATGGATGGTAGTTGATAAGTGTATCTGTCTTTCTCTGATTTAAAGCATATTAATATTATAATGTAACATAAGCTAAGCTGTCATTTTCATTTCTAGGTAGATGTATACATATCTATATACATATAGGGTAGACAGACAAGAGCAAAGATATACATAGAAAAGTCACACAAATATTGTGAATTATGCAGCAATCCATAGACTACATAAATTTATATACCAGAAGGCTACATTCTTAAGATTTAGCAAAATATGCAGTTTATGGACATGTGACTTGTACTATTAGTTATGTATTAGTACTGTAAGTTATGTATTACCTAATACATACTACTTATTTAAGCTTTGGGAAGAAAGGAAATTTTGAAGGATATAGAATTTGAAAGTAAGAATAACAAAATGTTTATTCAGCAATTTAACAAAGTATATAATGTGTAATCAATAATATATGTTGACATGTATTGTTGAAATTATTTATAGTCACACAATGTCGCATTTTATAAAAAATGATAGGATTGTAGCATTTAATTAAACTGAGGTAAAGTGTACCAAAATAGTCCAAAAATCAAAAAGAAAAGCTTTCTAAAATCTTCTGGAAACATATACATATATATAAATGAAAATATATCGTCATTAACATAAATTACTGCCGTTTTTTTTTCTTATTCAAGCTAGAATTAATGGAATGATACACATGGGTGATAATGAGCCAGTGCCAAAGAAGGCAAACTATGACAGTAAGTTTTATTCTGTCAAAGGATTACATCAATTATTTTATTATTCATTTATTAACTTACATGATACAAAATACTAGTGATTGAGGACTGAGGTCTTGAAAAGCCCGCACTTGAGTAAAACCACAGATGCCCCATAGGATGTAGATACATATTGTTTCCTCAAATAGAAAGAAAGTTGTGTGGGATAGGTGATTTGAAGACAACAACCTTAACTACTCAGACACAAATACCCCAGAACTTGACTCGAGGCATAATTAGTACATTGAAATACAGTGCTTGCACATTGAATCAGAATTTTAAAAAACTGATATAAACTATTAAAAACTGTTAACATAATTCAGTGTGTTTTTGAAGTTATTTCTTGTCACATAAATGCACTTTTTGCAAATTGACCTTATCTTAAACTTGTTCCACTATGTAAGTACATGAAAATTGTTCAGACTTAAATTTTTTAACCTGACTTATTTTTATTTCATTTTCAGAGAAAACAGAGAATTACATATATCAACTTGTTGAACAACAGACAGAATCGAATTCAACATTATAAACAATAAATCCGTCTCTAGATGGCATTGAAAACTTATTAGACAAACTTATTTAAAATTCTATCAAGAGCCGTATTTTTCCCTTTTGAACTCAGAAGGACCGAAAATGTGTGTTATTATGGCAATAAAGTCGATGTTGACATTCTTAATTTAGACATGTGATAAAACCATTAACATTTTTACGCGCTGAATATTAATGTGGAAACATAACAGGCGCAAATTAGCTCTTAATATCAGATTTGACAGCTTTATTAGTTGACACTTGTTAGGATCGAAATAATATATCTCAATCAGTAATTTTATCGATTGATAAATTAAACTCACTGTTTGTCTTTCATATGTGCATCATTAAATCAACTCGGCCATGCCGATGTGATTACTTGCATCCGGACTCCAAACAGAGATTTCATTTAACACTAAAATAACTATTAACGATATATTATTTTGTAATCATTATTTTATAGTTATTCTAAAATTTAAACAATTGTGAAAATTTAAATTTAAGCACCCACCCTCTTTAACATAGTATTGGTGGCTAATTTTATAATGAACATCTCCTGTCCTATCTGTATTTTGACATCAAAATTGATTTAAGGATATTTGTTTTGAAGTAAAAGTTGAGCCATTATGATAGTTGCAGGAGTTATAAGTCCTTTTTAAACTTGGAATATTGAAAGGTTTATATGACCCTGCTTAAATGGTTGTTTGCTTACCCAGTCACAAGATGAGCGTTATATTGCAAACATTTTTTTAAAATTGCCATATAACTTGTCAGGAATCGTTGTAACAATTTCATAAAACAGCAAATTACTTTTTTGTGGAGGAATGAAATATTTTACCAATCATAAATTTAAACATCATGATAATCCAATGAAAAATGATGTGAGAAAATGTGCAGTATTTGAATTTTTGATATTTAACAGGCAAAGTTGTAAAACAATGTCATATTTCTGAAAGCTTTATTTTTAGAAGTAATTTATGTCCTGTTTTTCAAAATTATTGTTATCAATAAATTAATAAAGTAATTTATTTTAGGAAATGACAAATTAATATTCATCACATTAACTGAAAATCTTTTACATGTGTAGTTTACTAATATTATTTTGTACTAGTACTTAAGGTATTACCACCCTAATGGGCACTATAAGGAACTAAACAATTGACATCATAGGTCAGATATATACCTTAAAGTACACCTGTATGCAAAATTTAAACAAAACTTACCGTACGGAAATCAAGTTATGCCCACTTTTCTGAATTCAAGCTAGGATGTTATGAGGGCCCTTTTTTAGTAATGAGGAACCTTTAAATAATTTGCAATAACAGTCTAATGAAAAATGTTTTCCCATTATTTTTGGTAAGAAACAAAAAGTACTATTCAGCTAACAATCCACAAATGCAAAATCATGGTTTCTACTTAAAATTTATGAAATCTGTATAAAACTGTTACCCTACCCCACCCATTTTTACCACGTGTCTGACCATTTTCCTACTTAGGGAGCCTAATTTAAAAACTCCTAAAACTTTACCCAAATGAGTGTCTGTTTTCAAAGTTTCCCTACATCTTTTAAGAAGTATATTCAATTTGGTTGATCTTGTAAAATATGAAATACTTTTACCGTCTAGTTTTGATTTTATTATTTTATTTATTTTATTTATTATATCAGGTACCTTATTTATTACTAGATTTAGCATAATTTAGCCAATAAATACCTATATAAATAAAAAAAATCAAACTTTAATACTTTTTTCTTTCCAAATGCGACATGAGAGATACATGAAGAATGTTAAAAGAAAAAAAATAAAGATAGAAAAACTTGACCCTTCTGGGGATTGAACCCACGGTCCTCATTTTCAATGTAGTTAACAGAAGTTCTAGCCTATTTGAAAACTCTTCAAAGCGGAGGTAATGCATTAGGATGGTAATACCTTAATCCCTTAAATGTTTATTATTCATTACAAATATTATTTTTTCTTATCAAAGGTATTATTGACTCTGACAATAAGTTAACTACTGTGCTAATTTTGGTTAATGTGAAATACAATGTAATTATTTTAAGTAATACCTGGGTGCTAAATTGAGATTAAAAAATAGATGTAATTGTTTTAATTGATCGAAATGTTATAATTCAAGTGCACAGAGCAAGTAATTATTTTAATTTGTATGTCTTAAAACAATTCGTCAATAAATTTCTTTCATTCTCTTTTCTTTTCATAATACCTTTCTGCAATGCTGAAGAAAGTTTTCGGGGGCATTTGTCACTTTTGCGTGACAGCTCTTATTTTTAATATTTCTACGGTTATCTGTTACATAAACTTTTATTAACATTTGTGTTTAACACATACACGTCTTGTATAACGAATTTATTTGATATAATGTTTGCTTTTTCGAAAATATATTCTGCAATGTGAATAAACATAACAGTTTATACTTGATAGGATGTAGCATTGGAAAGTTTGGTGCAGAATGTCTGAAGAATTGTCCGTCTAATTGCAAAAATAAATATTGCAACCACGTCAACGGTGCATGTATCGGTGGATGCAAGCCGGGCTATCAAGGATATCAGTGTCAAGAAAGTAAGTATTTTTAATTGTTTAATTATGCAATACAAGCGGAGGTAATGCATTAGGATGGTAATACCTTCATTCCTTTAATGTTTATTATTCATTACAAATATTATTTTTTCTTATCAAAGGTATTATTGACTCTGACAATAAGTAAACTACTGTGCTAATTTTGGTTTATGTGAAATACAAAGTAATTATTTTAAGTAATACATGGGTGCTTAATTGAGATTAAAAATAGATGTAATTGTTTTAATTGATCGAAATGTTATAATTCAAGTGCCCAGAGCAAGTAATCATAATTATTTTAATTTGTATGTCTTTAAATAATTCTTCAAAATAAATTAATTAATTCCTGTCTTTTATTATTATTACTTCTGTCAGAAAGTCATTATCATTATCATCTTGTGTGATGATTTCCTCAGACTCTTGTACTCCAGTAGTTTTACAAACGTTGTGCAGCCTCATACAAGCTAACACAACTTGGCTGCTCTTTTCTGGCGTAAACGGTAGAACACCACGACCTTTGTGAAGGCATCTGCAATGAAGACATAAATATTTGTTATAATGTTATTTGCTTCATGCGGTATGTCATTACTTCAATAAATTGACATTTCCACAAAAATAAGGCCAGAAGTAGAGATCAAAAACAACACACTATGATAAAATGGTTCAATACAATAATAACTACAAAAATAAATACAAACTGCAATCTGCTTAATGTTATTGACAATGAGAGATCTCCCTTTTGCTAGACTTTTAGGTTTCCAGTGATGTGTGACAGTCGTAGAATATCTCCATCTCAGAAGTTTTTTTTTTAATTTATGTTCCTTCAGGATCATTTAATTCCAATACTTTTTAGTGTTGAAGATTGACTATCAGGTTAACCGGTGCTTGGTAATCATAAACTGACTCAATAAAACCGAGTCTACAATTATCAACTTCTTTCTTTGCTTTCTGTTCTATTTGGTGATTGCTCAATGACCTTTTTTATGCCGCCAAAAGGCGGCATATTATAAAAGCACCGTCTGTCTGCCTGTCCGTATGTCTGTGTGTCCCCGTTTAATTCGTGTCTGGACTGTAACTTTGTCATACATTGACGGATTTTAAAATAACTAGGCTCAAATGTCTACGACATGTAGACGATGTGTCGCGTCTAAGTATCACGTCCCTACCTCAAAGGTTAATGTCACACTAACATTTTGAAGTTTCACATTATCACAATAAGAGTTGATAGATACACACATTTATGTCCGGACTGTAACTTTGTTATGCAGCATTTAAAAAAAAATAACTTGGCATAAATATCTACCATATGAAAGTGATGTGTCACGTCTAAGAATCACGTCCCTACCTTAAGCGTCCATTTTGAATTTTCAAAGTATCACAATTAGAGTTAATACGTACACAGACTCATGTCCAGACTGTAACTTTGTCATGCATCGAAGGATTTAAGAATAACTTGGTATAGAAGTATATCACATCAAGACAATGTTCCATGTTTAAGAACCATGATTCTACGTTAACAGTCAAGGTCACACTTACAGTTTGAAGGTTCAAGCTATCACAATAAAAGATACCATGTACACACATTCGTGTCCAGTCTGTAACTTTGTCATGCATCAAAGGATTTTTAAACAACTCCAAATAAATGTTTACTACGTCAGAAGTAAAATGTTTACTTTAACTCATCTCCCTACCTCCAAGGTCAAGGTCACACCTACAGTTTGATAAAACATAGTTAGTTTGCTATAAATAGCACATCATTTCACAAGAACATTATTAAGCAGTTAGTTACTTTCATTTTCTTTTCTTTCATAATACCTTTCTGCAATGCTGAAGAAAGTTTTCGGGGGCATTTGTCACTTTTGCGTGACAGCTCTTATTTTTATTATATCTACGGTTAATTGTAATGTAAACTTCTATTAACATTTGTGTTTAACACATACACGTCTTGTATAAGGAATTTATTTGATATTATGTTTGCTTTTTCGAAAATATATTCTGCAATGTGAATAAACATAACAGTTTATACTTGATAGGATGTAGCATTGGAAAGTTTGGTGCAGAATGTCTGAAGAATTGTCCGTCTAATTGCAAAAATATATATTGCAACCACGTCAACGGTGCATGTATCGGTGGATGCAAGCCGGGCTATCAAGGATATCAGTGTCAAGAAAGTAAGTATTTTTAATTGTTTAATTATGCAGATACAAGCGGAGGTAATGCATAAGGATGGTAATACTTTAATCCCTATAATGATTATTATTCATTACAAATATTATTTTTTCTTATCAAAGGTATTATTGACTCTGACAATAAGTAAACTATTGTGCTAATTTTGGTTTATGTGAAGTACAAAGTAATTATTTTAAGTAATACCGAAGTGCTAAATTGAGATAAAAAAATATTTTAATAGATCGAAATGTTATAATTCAAGTGCCCAGAGCAAGTAATCATATTTTAATTTGTATGTCTTAAAACAATTCTTCAAAATAAATTAATTAATTACTGTCTTTTATTATTATTACTTCTGTCAGAAAATCATTCTCATCATCATTTTGTGTGATGATTTCCTCAGACTCTTGTACTCGTGTAGTTTTACAAACGTTGTGCAGCCTCATACAAGCTAACACAACTTGGCTGCTCTTTTCTGGCGTAAACGGTAGAACACCACCACCTTTGTGAAGGCATCTGCAATGAAGACTTTAATATTTGTTATAATGTTATTTGCTTCATGTGGTATGTCATTACTTCAATGAAATGACATTTCCACAAAAATAAGGCCAGAAGTAGAGATAAGAAACAACACATTATGATAAAATGGTTCAATACAATAATAACTACAAAAAAAATACAAACTGCAATCTGCTTAATGTTAATGACAACAAGAGAGCTCCCTTTTGCTAGACTTTTAGGTTTCCAGTGATGTGTGACAGCCGTAAAATATATCTTCATCTCAGAAGTTTTTTTTTTAATTTATGTTCCCTCAGGATCATTCAATTCCAATACTTTTTAGTGTTGAAGATTGACTATCAGGTTAACCGGTGCTTGGTAATCATAAACTGACTCAAAAAAACCGGGTCTACAATTGTCAACTTCTTTCTTTGCTTTCTGTTCTATTTGGTAATTGCTCAATTACCTTTTTTATGCCGCCAAAAGGCGGCATATTATAATAGCACCGTCTGCCTGCCTGTCCGTCTGTCTGTGTGTCCCCGTTTCATTCGTGTCTGGACTGTAACTTTGTCATACATTGAGCGATTTTAAAATAACTAGGCACAATGTCTACCACATCTAGACAATGTGTCGCGTCTAAGTATCACGTCCCTACCTCAAAGGTTAATGTCACACTAACATTTTGAAGTTTTACATTATCACAATAAGAAGTGCTAGATACACACATTTATGTCCGGACTGTAACTTTGCTATGCATCACTTTTTAAAAATAATAACTTGGCATAAATATCTACCATATCAAGGTGATGTGTCACGTCTAAGAAAAAATCACGTCCCTACCTTAAGTGTCAAGGTCACAGTATCATTTTGAATTTTCACAGTATCACAATTAGAGTTAATACGTACACAGATTCGTGTCCAGACTGTATCTTTGTCATGCATCGAAGGATTTAAGAATAACTTAGCATAGATGTATATCACATCAAGACAATGTTCAATGTTTAAGAACCACGATCCTTCTTTAAAAGTCGAGGTCACACTTGAAAGATACCATGTACACACATTCGTGTCTAGTCTGTAACTCGTCATGCATCAAAGGAATTTTAAACAACTTCAAATAAATGTTTACTACATCAGAAATAAAATGTTTACTATAACTCATCTCCCTATCTCCAAGGTCAAGGTCACACCTACAGTTTGATAAAAAAGAACAATATTAAGCAATTAGTTACTATCATTTTCTTCTCTTTTCATAAACCTTTCTGCAATGTTGAAGAAAGTTTTCGGGGGCATTTATCACTTTTGCATGACAGCTCTTATTTTTATTATTTAATTCTACGGTTAATTGTAATGTAAACTTTATTTAACATTTGTGTTAAACACATACACGTCTTGTATAAGGAATTTATTTGATATAATGTTTGCTTTTTCGAAAAAAGATTCTGCAATGTGAATAAACATATCAGTTTATACTTGATAGGATGTAGCGTTGGAAAGTTTGGTGCAGAATGTCTGAATAATTGTCCGTCTAATTGCAAGAGTATATATTGCAACCACGTCAACGGCGCATGTACCGGTGGATGCAAGCCGGGCTATCAAGGATATCAGTGTCAAGAAAGTAAGTATTTTTAATTGTTTAATTATGCAGATACAAGCTAGTTTTGAAACTTCTATATTTTGTATATTTTCCCGATTAAATTGCTATGTGTAGATGACTCCTGTTTTAGGTATTCGTACCTCAAATCCATAAAAAACAGTGAAAATACAAACGTCTCTGATTATTATTTATAATTATTATACATAAAACAAAACACACCATTCATTTACCATTCATACAAAATATCTTCACACGTATACGTCCTTTTTACTAAACAATAATAAACACACGGTGAGACCTATGGAAGGAGATATCCGCCACAATGGAAGGATATTTAAGTAAAATGCCATTCATGCAAATAACTTATTCTTGTTTGTGAATAAAATTCCTTTCATGTAAATGACATATTCTTTCTTTGTTAAGTGAAATATATTTATGTAAAGAACTTGTTCTTGCATGTACATTAAATGGATAATATGGCAAATTTCATTTGTCTTACAAATCTGAATGCAAAATGTATTAACGCAAAACGATTAATACTTATTTTATAAGCTTACAATATTAAAGCTGGAGTTTTATTTTTTACGTCGTATTTTATTCTCTGTGTCCTAATTTGCTAATTACTTTTTACGATATACACGATGTACTTTACAAATTTTATATTTAATCTCGTTATTCGTACTTTCTATTTAACATCATTTAGAAGTTATATAACATCACTTAAAATGTGAAATAGAATACTTGTCGCGTAAATATTAAAAAGTTAAGCTGAAGGCCTGGCCTGACTCGGGATTCAAAAGATAAAGCCCTAAGCTTGACATCAAATGAATTTTTCAAGACAGACTATTGTTTTCTACGGGGGCTGTTCGAAAAAAATGCTTATTGTCCTCAATCTCGTGATCCACGTGGGACACGATTAAAACCAATACATACCTGTACAACGGTGTATAAATGATCATGTTAGACTAAGTGTAAGACATACAATTTGCCATTTGAATACACGCAGTCATTGACCACTGTACTAAAAATGGTTTATAGAAGCGTCGACGAAAAGTATGAAATACGGGCTTACCTCAAAGTTCGCGCAAAACTGGGTTGCTCTTTGAAGAAGTTGATGACTGAACTCTCGATTGATTATGGGCCTTCTTCTCTGTGTTATGACACAGTAAGGCGATGAAAAAAGAAATTTGAGTCTGGCGTAGAGTGCATCAAAAATGCACCAAAATCAGGTAGGGCAAAATCTGCATCTCGTAACGAAATCGTCTCCGAAATAAAGGACATCACTAAGGAGATGCCAGATTTACAGTTCCTGATATTGCACGAAAGGTAGGCGTATCACTATCAACGGTTAACTTTATTTTGAAGAAGCATTTGAAAGTCAGAAAGATTTCTGCTAGATGGGTGCCACATCTGTTGACCGATGAGCAAAAGAGGCAACGGGTTAATATGGCCAAAAAGCTGCTTTAAATGCTTCCAAAATATGACAAAAAAAAAAAAACAGTTTGCCAATGTCGTCACAGATGGTAAAACTTAGGTACATTATTTTGAGCCCGTCAGAAAAGTTAGCAACAAAGTCTGAGCCGCTATACACAACAAACGCCCAATAATTGCCAAACGGTCTTTGAGTGCAAAGAAGGTTTTGAATGCAATTTTCTTCTCTTGTGAAGGAGTCGCAATTTACGGGCCGGTAAAAAAGGGCAAAAGTATCACTGGGAATAACTACAAAGACGTAGTACGTTGGAAACTGGAAAATTATTATAAGACACGACGCCATGTCACTGGTTTTAAGCATATCCGTCTTCTACATGACAATGCCCCCGCTCATACCTCCGCAATAGTTTCGTCGTTTTTAGGAAAATTAAAAGTAACTGTTTTGCCTCATCCCCCATATTCTCCAGACCTTGCCCCATGTGATTTCTTTTTGTTTCCGAAATTGAAATCCTTCCTTGCTGGGTGGAAATACAAGTCCCGACAGGCACTTGGATCTGCCATTCATCAGTACCTTATTTATGTGCCCAAATTAGCGTACCGTGACGCCTACAAGAAGTAGATACATCGGCTGAAACTTTGCATTTCTAGTTTTATAGCTGCTTGCTTTCACCCATTAGGAAAAATAATGTCTTCTGTTACATTGTGTATGTTTCATTATTCCTGTATCACTCATTAGGAAAAAAATAATCTTTACATAACGTTTTAATAATGTCATACTCCAGTTTATTTTAAGGATAATTTAAAATGTATAATCACATGTAATTTAAATTTGAACAAAGAAATAAGTCAAAGTGATTGTATTCATTAAATGTTATTACTAATAGAATGTCAAGCGTTGACGTTTGGTGCAGATTGCAAGGAAAATTGTTCTTTCAATTGCAAAAATGGTTATTGCAATTACGCCAAATGTACTTATGGATGCAAGCCAGGTTATCAAGAAGATAAGTGTGAAAGAAGTAAGTCTTTCAATTCTAAATTTTTATGCAGGTAGTGTTATGTTTCAATGTATGTTCTTTCCGGTTTATTTAATTCCAATACTTTTTTTAGTGTTGAAGTTTGTCTATCAGGTTAACGAGTGCTAGCACGGTAGATGTTGCACTTGATATTAAAAATCATATACAGACTCAATTAAAGCGAGTCTACAATTGTCAAATTCTTCCTTTGCTTTCTGTTCTTTATGGCAATTTCTCCATTTCGATTTTATGCCACCGAATGGCCGCATATTAATGGTACCGTTCGTCTGTCTGTCCGTCTGTGCATCCCCATTTTATTCGTATCCGGACTGTAATTGTGTCATACATTGAGAGATTTTGAAATAGCTAGGCACATATGTCTTTCACATCACGACGCGCCGCGTCCAAGAATCACGTCTCTTCCTCAAAGGTCAATGTCACACTAACATTTTGAAGTTTCACATTATCCCAATTAGAGTTAATAGGTAAACACATCCGTTTCCAGACTGTAACTATGTCACGCATCGGGTGATTTTAAAAAACTTGACATAGATGTCTATCACATCAAGACAATGTGTCGCGTCCAAGGACAACATCCCTTCTTCAAAGGTCAAGGTCACACTTACATTTTGAAGGTTCAAGCTATTGCAATTAGAGATACTAGGTACACATATTCGTGTCCAGCCTGTAACTTTGTCATGCATCAAAGGATCTTAAAACAACTTGGAATAAATATTTATTACATCAAGACGACGTGTCGAGTCTTAGACTCATGTCTCTACCTCCAAGGTCAAAGTCACATATACAGTTTTATGGTTTCGCATTCTCACAAGTAGAGTTGAAAGGTTCACACATTTATGTCTGGACTGTAACTGTTTAGACATGGAAGTATTTTTAAAAAGCGTAGCATATACTTCTACCATATGAAGACAACATGTCGCCTTTTAGACCTATGTTCCTACCTTTAAGGTCACTCTGACATTTAGAGTGTATTCATTTTCTCAAGAAGAGTTTAAAGATACACATTCGTGTCCGGTCTGAAACTTTGTCATGCATCGAACAAATGTCTACCATATAAAACGACGTGTTGATCCATGTCCCTACCTCCAATGTCAAGGTCACTCTAATATATTGAAGATACTTATGCTCATAAGAGTTTGAAGGTACCCATAAGTTTCGAAACTGTAACATTGTCATGCATTTAAGAACTTATAAAATAATTTGGCATAAACATCTACCACATAATTTTTATGATGATGTGCCGCATCTAAGACCCATTTCCCGATGTGGTTAGATTGCTATAAATAGCACTTCATTTCACAAGAACAATATTAAACAATTAGTTACTTTTATTCCCTTAAACTATTCCTTCCCTTACATAAGAATATGACTATACCTAAAACTGTTTTAATAGAAAACAACAACTTGTTGCAATACAAATTCTATATTTGTGTAAGCGTCTCTACATTTTTAAGATAAACTTAACTTTTGCAGGGGAGATCATCCGGATATTACTTAATAGAAATACAAACTTAATTTTTTCCCTTGGGTAATCTGTAATTTTAATGCTAACATTCTAAAGTTTAAATCAGTGTTTCCAAAGATTCCTTTTCCATTTTCACACTTAATATAAAAATGTCTTTCCGTCGGTAAATCAAACAAATCTATAATTTCTTTTATGTAACACCGATTCGGAGATATAAACGACTTCCAACAAGGAATAACTTATACTCCATGCGCGTGAACACAAGCCGATTTCATAATTACTATATGAATAACAGATATAGAAGATACAAATAACCCAAACTGTCCTTCCCAGCTTTCCGAAAAGGCGTCAATCCCAAAACAATCTGGGTTCCAAAATGTTGAATTAAATTTTGTCTGTTTAGCATTATAATATGACGCAAACCAATCAACATTTAATTGACCGAAACGATCAGTTATCATTTATTATATATCGAACAAAATTCGCCAGTCATCAAAATCAGACAACATCGACTACAAATCTGCCTTTTCATTTTGGGTTCCGAAGACCCACTCTACTTCTAAGGCAAACGCATTCTTCATGCAATACTGAAAAAATGCATAAGGCAATTTCTTGCAGTTCTTGCCTCATAGAACCCTTTAAAATTATCGCCTTAACCCCTTGATAATCGGTAAACCACTTAACACATTGACTTTTAAGATATGAGATCGTTCAAGATCTTTCTTGTCTATACACGACAAGTAACCTTTCCAGAATAACTATCTGCACTGAGTGAAATGCTCTCATTCCAATACCGTGCATTTAATACATCTAAAGTTAAATATCTAGTCATAATTTGAGATATATGGCCAATGACTGTCGCCATAGAAATTAACTGACCAACTGCAATAGCAACTTTTCTTACTTGAATTTTAACCTTCTTGTCAATAAGGCCAATTAAAAAATCAATAGTTTCTTGTGCTTTTAACAATCTACGATTAGGAATGGAAATAGTACCATTGATTGTATTCAAATCAAATCCAATACTTTAATATCTGTGTAGGTTCCCAAATACATTTGGTAGCATAAGGTACGGAACCCGAATTAAGTAAATCTGTTTTTATAATATGACTTTGTTGGGTTTTCTTTAGGGATTCTTATTTTCTCTATTTTAACCTCACATTATTATTAAAAT